ACTTCAATATTCTATTCTTCGGAAAAATGAAAAAATCGCTGTAAAAATGTCATACGATTGGCTAAAGTGATGGCAAATGTTTGAACAGCGAGTACTTAAGTGAAACCTGACTAAGTTTTTGGGTTTTCTCATTCCGGATAGCTACAAATCGCACTTTTCCCTTGCGATGGCTAGTAGTAGTAGTAACAATTCCGCGACCAATAATCACGGAGGCCACAATCCTCTGAACCGATTGTCGCTAAAGTCCGCCGGAAAGCGAAATCAGGAGAGCATGTCGCATTCCCAACCGAATGGCGGATGGATAAATGGTAAGGCGGAAAAATCTAGGGGAAAATGGAGGCGGAAAAGCGGCGTACTGGGGGAGGGGCAGGGGTAGGGGCACGCAGGTGCCCTGTGTCTGTGAGTTATTGATTTTTCCCATAACTTAAACAGTGTCATCAGGGGCAGGGGAACAGGGGGCCGTTACGAAGAGGGGCGCTGTCTGGCAACACAAACAACAAAAACAACAGCCGACTGCGTTGCTATTTTGAGGCGTTCCACTTTTAGAGTACAGCAGAACCTCCCTATCCAGAACATCAGTTGCCTAAACTTCTCAGGAGATTGCCTTCGAATCACTAGAAGTTCCAAAATATATGTAGATACAAAATATATTCATATTTTCAAGGTCGGCCTTCGTTTACACAATATATGTATACTTAAAGGGATCAAGTGTCAAGAATAATAAACAAGTGCGATTCAACTAATAAATTCATTGTAAACTCTGTAAACTAATGTCTTGAACAATATTTATTTTGTGCATAAGTAATTGCCTATTAAACAATAATTAATTGGCTTGCATATCAGCAGCATCATATTAAAAATAACATCATAAAACTATATTAAAGCTAATAGCTTCTGACTGATCATTAATTATTCTTCCTTTTAAATAATATTACTTTGGTTGGATATTAAACCATTTAAAGTATTATTCACGACTCTTTTCGAAAATAAAATATTCAACAGAAACTAAATTTCCTCAGGTGCAAGCTGTTTCCATTCACAGAAGCTTCACCGTATTTGGGCCACAATAATTGTGGAAAAAAGGGGAGACCCTGGCATTTGTTATTTACGATGCACACGCAGCGGAAGTTGCACAAATGTGGCCACGCGCGCTGCTGGTTATAAGCGAACTGGGTGGGATTACCAGCCTAGATATAACCTGTGTAACCCAAATATTAATCCGTTTATCTAATCTCATCCACAGTGGAAACCCTCAACAATGGCAATGGGCTGCTCCACTCGCCGCCTCACAATCACCAGCAGCAGCAGCAGCAACAACAACGAGGCGGAGGAGGAGCATCGCCAGCTGGAGGAGGTGGTGCCTCTGCAGGAGCGGATCACAATATACAGATAACGCAGCCCATCAGTGCCCCATCCTCGCCGCTGGCCTCGCCTGGCGCCTTAAACAGCAGCAGCAGCAGTAGTGGAGGAGGCGGAGGAAGTGGTGGAGGTCTTTCCGGCAGTCCCACCGCCTTTTGTCTACCCTCCAGTTCCGCGGCGGCTGCTGTGGCTGCCATCTCGGCCACGCCCACCAGCGGCAGTGGATCATATGTCTGCTCTGCCGGAACCAACTGGCATTTCGCGGCCGTAGCGGTCTCCAATGCCATTGATACGGCGGACCCCAACTGGCAGGCCAGCAAGGCGACAGTTCTCGAGAGGAATGCGGCCATGTTCAACAACGAACTGATGTCCGATGTCAAGTTCATTGTGGGTGGGGAGTTCGGTAAATCTCTTTTAACCCAATAGCGAAACCAATATTTAATTTGTATCTTTCGACAGACATCGATCCCATTCAGACCATTCCCGCCCACAAATACATTCTCGCCACGGGCAGCTCCGTATTCTATGCCATGTTTTATGGAGGACTGGCGGAGAACAAGCAGGAAATCAAAGTGCCTGACGTGGAACCCACTGCCTTCCTAACGTTGCTAAGGTGAGATATTCAGAACACATCACTAAACAAATGAACATAACGAATTAACTTATATCTTTAGGTACCTCTATTGTGATGAAATCAAACTAGAACCTGAACACATCCTGGCCACCTTGTACGCGGCCAAGAAGTACATCGTCCCGCATTTGGCCAGGGCCTGCGTCAACTATCTGGAAGTGAAGTTGACGGCAAAAAACGCCTGCCTACTTCTCAGTCAATCGCGTCTGTTCGAGGAGCCCGAGCTGATGCAACGTTGCTGGGAAGTGATCGACGCACAGGCCGAGATGGCGGTTAAGTCCGAGGACTTTGTGGACATCGACCTCAAGACGTTTGAGTCGATCCTTTCGCGGGAGACGCTCAACTGCAAGGAGATCCACCTGTTCGAGGCGGCTCTTAACTGGGCCCTGAACGCCTGCGAGAAGATGAGCATCGATGATACGCCGCAAAACAAGCGCAGGCTGCTGGGACAGGCGTTGCATCTCATCCGCATTCCCACCATGTCGCTGGAAGAGTTCGCCAATGGCGTAGCCCAGACGGGCATCCTCTCATCCCAGGAGACGATTGACATGTTTCTGCACTTCACCGCCAAGATGAAGCCCTCTCTGGGCTTTCCCACACGATCCAGGGCGGGATTGAAGACACAGGTCTGCCATCGTTTCCAGTCGTGCGCCTACCGCTCGAATCAGTGGCGCTATCGCGGACGCTGTGATTCTATTCAGTTCTCGGTGGATCGAAGGTAAGGAAGATAGTAAATTTAAAGATTTATATAATCAACACCTTCCCCTCTAGAATCTTCATTGTGGGCTTTGGACTGTACGGCTCATCGACTGGCGCCGCCAACTACAACGTAAAGATCGAGCTGAAGCGCCTGGGTCGCACACTCGCCGAGAACGACACAAAGTTCTTCTCAGACGGATCGAGCAACACGTTCCACGTGTTCTTCGAGAACCCCATCCAGATTGAACCTGAGTGTTACTACACCGCTTCCGTGATCCTCGACGGCAACGAGCTGAGCTTTTTTGGCCAAGAGGGCATGTCGGAGGTGCTCATGGGCAACGTGACCTTCCAGTTCCAGTGCTCGTCGGAGAGCACAAACGGCACAGGGGTGCAGGGTGGTCAGATTCCGGAGCTTATCTTCTACGGACCCACCACAGTCACTGCCATGAGTTCGCCCACAAATTCGGTTTGTGCCACACCCATTGGTGGTGGAACAGCAGCCGGAGGAGCCTCATTAACCACAGCACCCGGAACTGTCGTTTCAAATGGCAGCAGTGGATCTGCCAACAACTCCAACGGTTCTGGAGAAGATCTGGCCGGCGATGGAAGCACCTGATGCGCACAGCTCTACTGCGCCGAGTGGCAGGGAGCTTGTTACTACCGCCAACAGCAGCAGCAACAACAGAGGAGACCAACACAACAATACAAAACACAGCAACCGCAACAGCTAAAGATACAAAATCGAAACTCATGGGTTTTCAGTGCAACACAACAAAGCAAATTGGAGTTTTAGGCGCATATATATATATACCACGATAGTAGAGTGCTCTAGTTTTCGTAATAGTCCTATATATAGTCATATATACACGTAAAGCATAGACACATATATATACACCCCGGCAGTGCGTTTTAAAGCTCTAAGGCAGTTGTCAGAACGAGATCATCTCAACAAGAAAGTCATTCGATGCAAGTCATTCGGTATAAGGAATTTTCGATAATCAAAAAGATTTCCTTCGTTATCCCAAGTACGTTAAGCAAGTTAATTTCGACGGTTTTGCAGTTTTAAAACGCGCTGTACATAGTTTGTTGGTAATGCATAAAAAGATATTTTCAAAATCGAAACAAGTTGAACATATACACCCATACTATATAGATGCAGATTAATAGTTGACTCGAAAACTTAATACGTTCCACGATTTGAGAGGGCGGGATAGGGTAAAAAGGCGCTATATAAAGACACATATATAAATGCAATAAGTGAAAATCGGGCAATCAGTCAAGCTAGCGTTAACCAATATTCTAAAGGAGATCTGAAGAGAGAGTGGAAAAAACTAATACGATATATACCAAACATATTTTTGCCAGCATATACCTAACATATATACACATCTGATCTGATAATGATATATACACACATATAGATAAACTATAGAACCTAAATACTTGAAGGGATAATAAGCCATGTTAAGAATCGCATACGACGAATTTGAAAGCCAAGTTAACCAAGTTTACGAAATATGAAACAAAAAAGAAATCAAGGGATCTTGTACCAGTATGCACACAAAATCTTCCCCACATAAATATTGGAATATTAATCTTGTAGAATACATTATCTATATTTCGTAGTTGTTCCATTATATCTCTCATACATACACATATGCCTTTCTACTGATATTAAGACCCGTACTTTGCTCCTATGCATTAGTCTAGGCTGCTTTGCGCAACAATCAGTTTTACGTTCGACTTTTGAATTTCTTTGGAAATTGTACTGATTTTTTGCTTTTGATAAGAAGACAATTAATGTTTTTTTATATACATATATATCTATATAAATGAAAATGTTATCCTATATTGATTATGAATCTATTAACATTATGTACTTTAATCAAACGAAATACATTATTAGAATCTTGCGAATTTACGTTTAAAGAAATGGCCGTTTTTGGGATTGGATGAAAGAGAAATATTGCTCTAAATGTCAAAAAGGTAAGTAGAAAATGGGTGTCGGAGAGACAACTAGAAATGAATGTATCTAATATGGATAGTAAAATCAAACTTCTCTTACAAGAACTTTTCTTAATAAAAAACTTTAACCATTTATTGTAAAAACCTAGATTCTAATTAGATACTACGAAATAACTCATACTTCGTCAGCAACAAATGCTTATTCTAAATACAAGAAATGTGCTAACAAAAATGTTACGTTCTTTCTAGACCCCATCTTTGCTTTTCAAATTAATTAAAATATCTGGGCAGTTTTCGTAATTTGAAACTACATAAATGTGATTTAATATTCATGACGTTCACTTACCCACAGACGGGATGTTGATACAAAGGGCGTGCGATAACTTCAAGTAGGTGCGGCCCAGCTCATACGAGCAGATCTGCTGAACGTCGCTGATGTCTATAAGGAGATCTGGGGAGGAATGGGCCAGGGATTAGCTAAATAAAGGGAAAACTAGTAATGGACTTACGAGAGGTGCCCTCTGTCCTGCAGGTCATATACACGCAGGCGGCGTAAATGTGGGTGCTCTTCCTGCCGCGGGTTAGATGCCTACTTAATGCCATCTTAAAGAAGTTCAGGGCTGTATCCGCGTAGTGCTGGGACAGTTGCAGCTGCTGGCAGAGCAGGGTGATGTCCTTCTTGGCCTTCTTGATGGTCACCTCGCGGGACTCTGTGCCCGAACCCACCTGGAACTTGCCGTAGCCGTAGTTTGTGGCTCCACCCGAGGATTCGGCGGAGACAAACTGACCAATTGCAGCTGCTCCATGTCCAACTTCCTCGAACTGCACTTCGGAAACGATGAGGGAATCCTCCAGCACAGAACCGCAGTTCATGCAGACTATAGTAAGTGGGAAATGGTAAATAACTAGGGGATATTGAATACTCCACCACTTACCCCGATCTCCTCTGGCATTATCCTCCTCGATCTCGTTGGATCCGCAATTGCGACATTTTAATCCAGTAGACATGATGGCTTTTTCTATACTTTCACTTGCTTTCTTTGAGTTTTACACCACTTGCAGGCAGGTTTTGTTTTTAAACTATTGGAAAAACACATCAAGGCACTGGTTTGCTGTCAATTCAGAGCATTTTTCGACTTTTGTTTAAACAATTTGCAATTTGTTGCCAATTAAAATCAACACGCTTGGACAACAGCTGACTGACTGGTGTTTTCCAACACTGATGCTAGAACAGAATTAGCTAGAGATGAGCTTGATTGACTTACGAATAGTTAACAAATGTATTCGGCAACTAAAATGGTGGTTAAAAAAACTAGAAACAAGAAGAGCTACTTGTAAGTTGATTTATTAAAAAATATTTTGTAGCTTTGATTATTACACTTTTGCGTTACATATATTTATACATATATATTTTAATTAGAGTTAGTGCGCATCTCTAGCATTTGCTCCACTAAAAAGCCGGTAAGTTTTTAGGGTGACGCAAAAAAAAAAAAAAGCATGGAGTAAGTTGCAGTAGTTCTTATTAAAACATAAAACATTATTTATGTAAGATACACATTAGTTGCTTACGATTTAAATTTCATTTACTGAAAGTAAGTGAACTTTTGACGTCAAAAGTTTCAGATCTAAAAGCACCCCACTTTATTCAACACCCTGCGCAGGCGAAATAAACAAGTCAAGTCGGCATAGAATTTTGGAAAAGTAATATTTAAAATAGAAATACCAATTAATTTAGTTCCGACATGGGCGATGCTGACAGAGCAATGAACGATCCTGAAGTCGCCAAAACGGTGGCCGGAATCCAGGTGATTCCCGCCGAGGATGTCGCCTCCATCGAGGAGGTAATTACAATTGATCCAGAGTGCTACGAACTGGATCTGAATCATCGCCGGATCGAGAAATTGGAGAATTTCGAGCCCCTGACGCAGATCGAACGCCTGTTCCTGCGTTGGAATCTGATCAAGAAGATCGAGAACTTGTCCACTTTGAAGACCCTGATCGAACTGGAGCTCTACGATAATCAGATCACAAAAATCGAGAATCTGGACGACTTGACCAATCTGGAGGTGCTGGACATCAGCTTCAATCGTCTTACCCAGATCGAAAACCTGGACAAGCTGGTTAAGCTGGAGAAAGTTTACTTTGTGTCGAATCGGATCACCCAAATCGAGAACCTACAAATGCTCACCAATCTCACTATGTTGGAGTTGGGGTGACAACAAACTAAAGAAGATCGAAAATATCGAAATGCTGGTGAATCTGCGACAGCTCTTTTTGGGCAAAAACAAGATAGCCAAGATTGAGAATCTGGACACATTGGTCAATCTGGAGATCCTCAGTCTGCAGGCCAATCGTATTGTAAAAATTGAAAATCTTGAGAAGTTGTCTAGTCTCCGCGAACTCTACATATCGGAAAATGGAGTGGAAACCATTGAAAACCTCTCCGAGAACAAGAATCTGGAGACCCTGGACTTGGCCAAAAACCGATTGAAAGGCATTGGCAACCTGGAGAGCTTGGAACTCCTGGAGGAACTCTGGCTAAACCACAACGGGGTGGACGACTGGAAGAACATAGAGCTGCTAAAGGTAAACAAGGCCCTGCAGACCATCTACCTGGAGTACAATCCGGTGGCCAAAGACGTCCGCTACCGCTCCAAACTGCGTGACATTCTGCCGCAGTTGCAGAAGATCGACGCCACCCTGTGCAAGGCGCCCGGATCCTAGATGGAGCCGTTGTAATCCTCTTGAAAGACTAATCCATTTGTATTGATTAACTTTGAAAAAATGCGTTTAAAATATACATAAAATTAATCATTACCAAGGCTTATATTTAGTCCACAATCCACAATATTATCCTTATATTTGGAAATTTGCCTATAAACCCCAATTGGTTTCATCTAGTGTCTCTGCCATTGAACGTAAGTATACATGAAAATAAAACTTTACTCGATGAATAAGATTTTATCAGTACTTCTTATCTTTTATAAGTAAACTAATTAATTTTTCCGCGCAAAATATTTATTTTGTTCTTATTAAATTATTTTTACTTTTTATAATGACAACACACTTTTAATTAAAGTTGAATAAACTATACAAAAATTCCTTTTAAATATTATAAAAACAAAATATTCCACCTTACCACACCAGTTAAAATTTTACGGAGTATACATATTTATTTTGTATAAATGATATTGTTCTACTGACTGAAATCACAGTGCTTATCTGAAAAGTGGCTTTTGTAATTATCTTTTGTCTGATTCACTTCTTTATGTGCATTTCATATATGTATATATTCATATATTTGGTTGATTGCGCAGTAAACAAGGTATATGATTCGTCAGATTGTTTCCTTATGAAGATCGTCAATTCGAAACAGCATAATAGTCGGTGGCGCTGACTTTATGAGGACCTCCGTAAAAATCCAGCACAAAGATATTGAGTATGTCAAGCTCGCAAAGGTAGAAATTGTGGGCTGCAAAAAAGAACGATTTTTGGAGATTTAAATAACATTTTCATTTACTGATATACTTTTGTCAATTGTTAACTTTTAGTAACTTCTAAAAATCAAATTTTAATCAGGTTATGCGGTTCATTTTCACATCGATCAACATTTTTTGAAGGATTACCATGACAGTATAGCAAACTTTAAAATTCAATTACATACCCTTTAACCAATTTTTGGCAGCTGGATGACGGTGCACATAGGCATCCAGCGAAGGTTGATATCCACTTTCGGTGGGATCCATCTAAAGATTGAGATATTTTGTACAATTAAATCTTTATAGTAGTTATTATTTTCTACATACTTTTTTGACCTGTCCGCTGATCATGGAGCGGGCACATGTAGGCTCCATTGGGTCCTTTCCTCCATCCTTGCACCTTAGAGTCTGCTCATCGCTGAACAGGAATGTCACCTTGTTATCCCTTTGCCAGTCGGGACCAGTGAAATCCAGATCGGTCAGCAAAAAGCGAATCCTTCCCGTGGAGTTACCATTGGCATCACTATCATCTATGGATATAATATTGACCATGGGATATCCTTCCACCAATTTGTTGGTTGACAGACTTCCCAAGGCTGCCCAATTAGCACGATGGACCAAATCCCTAGCGATCTTGGCATGATTTAGGGCTTCTCCTCGCTTTATTTGCCTAATGAGCCGGGCATCTTCTCGGGGGGAATACCCAAAACTGGGATTCGGGATTACGAAGGCCAATATCAAGGCCACTAGTATGAGAGGGCAGGTGTTCATGGCTGCACTGCAAGTATAACGATTCAGTTTAGAAAGATCACTGAGCAGCTAAAAGATCGAAATCGGAGCATTTATAGGCACAAATTCGCATTGACTGGCCTTATCGTTCCGGTCAACGTTGTTGCTTGTTATTAATGCTGAACAAAAACAAAGCCCATAGATTGCATTGACCCTCCCGCCCCGCTCCTTTTTCCATTGCTCGGCGTATTCTGCACGTAGTCTGTATATATACATATATGCCTACCTGGACGATCTAGAGTTCTAGTACTACTCTCCTTATCGGTACTTCTGCTTTGCAATTTGTTTGTAAACTGACTGAGCAGTTTTTGAGCCTTTATTATCACCTGTCTCGAGTACAAAGAGTCAGGAACAGCTGTTTTAAGCAGGTACCTCGGAATCGAGTTAGCTGGTGAGGGTGTGTAAGACACATGAAGTGCCTGCTATTTTTGGTGTCGCAGCTCCAGTGTTTCTTAAACATCCATTAGTGAACTTTATTATATGCCGATTTTAATTTTAGTAATTTAATGGAGTTTTTTGTTCACGTGTTTTAAATTTCAACCGGAATGTTGATTCACTGTTCTTAAAAATTAGTCAGCACTTGGAAAAAGTTGTTCTTCATGATTAAAATGGAAAAGTGAAATAAAAAGCCCTTAATTTAAGTAAGGGTTGTTCTCAAAAATAAAATTATAAAATCTGAAATGGTCTCAATTGTTTTGTTCATAAGCCTTACCTTAAGTCTAACAACTAGTTGGTTACATTTAAGAAAGAATTATTGAAAAACTTGTTTTTTAAATTAGCTTTATACACGCCAAAGAAGTAATAGACCATTCCGAAAACTAGTCCACCAATTCAAAATTCGCCAAGGGTACCAACTGATCGAGCATCCAATAACTGTAGCAATACAGCATTGCCAGACCAAAACGAAGCCGTCTGCTGCGAAACTAGACTTGGATAGACAGACCGAATTTAAAGTATTTTAACATTTTCTTTCTTTTTATTTTGCAAATATGTAGGTATGCTTAAATATGTTTTTTCTTTAGGAGTATCATTATATTTTGACTTGATCTTGTTTACCATATAACTTGTACATTTCACTTTCATTTAACTTGACCTCATTTAACATTTATTGTTTCTATTTGCGATTGGCTCGAAATTTCGCCAATATCTGGTTTTGAATTCATCGTGTTTTTGTTTGTGTGTTCATTATTCTAGTGTGCGATTATTAGTTTAACATTTATTTGTATTCATGTTACGTTTACGTTTTCATTTTTGTACCGTTGGAAATATACTTTTGTTCTCATACTATTAGACTTTTTTTGTTGTAATTAAATTACTTTTGCCAGATTAGTTTACCCTGCCACATACAGTTTGTTTGAAAAATATATGTACATATAGTACTATGCATATCTCATGGAGTCCTGAAATAAATACGTGTAGTTCTTGAGTGTTATCCTCAAAAAATAGTCGTGTAAAAGTTGATCGTAAGTGTATAGTGTAAATACGTATGGATGTAAAACATTTAAAGTTAGCTTCGTTGATTTATTGATTTTGTTAAAGATTTTTTAAAGTTTAAAGCCCATTTGCGTTGCATTGCAGCGGAAAGTAGCTCAAAATTCTATCTTTCTTCTTTGTTTTGTGTTTTAAGACATTAAGCTTACGATATAAAAATAAATAAATCAATTTTTGTAACTAGTTTTTGAGCTGATTCAATGGAGTAGTACAATAATGGCAGATCGGTGTTTAAACTTGTTAAACAAAATTGTTTTGAGACGTTTTAAAATTTATAATTTAAAAAAATAATACAACTTAAATATACTAATATATTCTGGATATTTTAACATCTTATATCCGTTTCTATTTTTAAGTATTGAATAAAAATATTTTCTGTTTCAGTTTTATCCTGTCAAAACACCTTTCTCCAATTTTGTATATATTTTTGTTTAAATCCAACTTCGCTAGAACAGCAACTCTGAGTCAATGTTATCTCTAGATATCTTTTGCGCTTATCAGTTATGTGGCATTTTACAAAATTATTTTATGTTTAACTCTTTTTACTTGCCATACAAATATCGTTGATTATGGTTATGATAACTAAATGCATTTAAATCATCTTTAAGGTTCATACAAAATTACAGACATACCGACATTAATATGATGAAGTTACAACATTATCTTTTGCTAGTTTAATGCCATAAAGCCAAACATGCAAATGGCTGTAGTACAGTACGTGGTTATTTTATGCTTAGTCTGACATACAAAATTCTATATTAGCTGCGCCAAAGTCATGACAATCTATATAGTCCACAGACATATATATAGCACTGTATATACGAACTTGCCTAGAGGCGCCACAAAAAAAAACACACTAGCAAACATTTCATTTAAACAAATTACACACAGTTTAATACTTGTTGCTTAGATTTTTTGCGCTTGCTTTTACAAAATACGACTACGATTTATTTGTATACAGATTAATAATTTCTTAACCACTTTTTATTTTTAGTTTTCTTAGTTTTTTGTTTTCAAACAATTCCTTGGCGCTTGCGTATTTTTGTGTAGTTTTGAACGTTAGATTTTGCTTTCTCTATGACCAAAGATCGAACAGAAGGATTAAAGCTTTCAATTCACTTTCGTTTTATTTCGCGTATTAAATTTTTGACTAGCTTGGAAGCATGAGTAAAATTAGAACCTAAAGTGTGGACTCTGAACTGGACTTGAACACAGAAAGAAAAAGCAAATCGGGGCAGTTTACAATACGCGGGACATGGTATAACGTGTTAAAGCTATCGTTTTGTCAGCCAACGCACTCCAGTCGAATTAGAAGACCACATTAGAGGGTTAAAAAATCGATTTTGATTTTCGAAAATATTTAAAAATCATTTAGTTTGTTCGCATCAGACTAATATTATTTTATGAACGTTGACTCTTAATTAGAGTTGAAGATTACGTCAAACTTTGTCAAACAAGTACTCTGTCAACTTTATTTAGGTCTTATAAAATCATATATATTTAATTTCTATTATTTTGTAAAGCTGGAAATACCAATTAAAGAAAAATTGTCATAAGTTTGGCTGTCTTAAGGTTTATATAGATTATATTTAAAAAAATAAATATATGTATTTAGGATTAAAAATCAAATCGTAAATCAAGAACAAAATACGTTCAACCTACTCTGGTTGGTTTTAATAAGTCGAAAATAAAACCCTTATCTAATGTGGTTTTCCCCCTCAAGGATTGGGATTAAGAATGGTTACAAGATCTCGCCCGTTAGCTGAGATCGCACCGTTAGCGACGGTCGTTGCTTCTGGATGCGGAACCTCCTCCTCCTGGTGCTCCTCCACCGCAACCACCACCAACACCTCCACCGGGCGCCTGGTTCACCGTCTGCAGCTCATACTGGTAGTAGCAGTCGCTGCCCACGTAGACGGTGCGCCAAACGCCGTCCACATCTCACATCTGGCGGTACGGCGAGTGCATCTTGAGCCACTGCAGCACTAGCGATGGCCCGCCCGCCTGGATCTCAGGAGGAATCGTGCTCAGCGGACACTTGTCAATGTTCAGATATTTCAGATTCTGGCACAGGGCAAGCTCAAACGGCAGCTTCTCCAAACCGGGATTCTGGTTGATGTACAGATTCTCCAGGCTTTCCAGCGAACCAATCTCCTCGGGCAGGAACTGCAGGTTATTTTCGCTAACAGACAGGTGAGTCAGGTTGCCCAGGTGGCCAATGCTGCGCGGCAGCATGGTAATCTGATTGGTCTGCAGAATCAGTCGCTGCAGCTCGTGCAACAGACCAATCTCGTGCGGCAACACCTCAATACGATTCTCCTCCAAGTCGAGTATCCTCAGCCTCCGCAGATTTCCAATCGTATTCGGTATTTTCTTGAGCATGTTGTTGGACAGGATGAGTATCTCAAGGTTTTGCAGGTTCATGATATCATCGGGCAGCTTCTGTAGTGCATTTGTGGCCAGATTCAGCTCCACCATGTTTACCCAGGTGCCAATATCCAATGGCAACGCCGTCAGCATATTCTCCTTCATGTTTAGCTTGGTAAGACCTTTGGCCCTCGAGAAAATCCCATAGGGAATCTTATCGATTCGATTGTGTTCCAGATTAATGCTATAAACATTGGTGAACTGCGCTGGTCCCCCAGTTGGATAACTGGTGAACTGATTTCTCGAGAGTGTGATGGTAGTTAAACCGCTCAAGCTAGCCAGCATTCCATCCGGCAGCTGGGTTATCCCGTTGCCCTCTACATTGAACTCATCCATGCTCTTGCAGTTCTTCAAAGTAGCCGGCACGCTACTCAATCGATTGTATCTCATGCCCAATCGCACCAGGGACTTGAGATTCCCAATACTGTCAGGTATATCCAAAAGTTCGTTGTGCTGCAGGTCCAGGGCGCTCAGGTTCACACAGTTCCCAATGTCCTCGGGCAGGTGTTCCAGGTGATTGTGCGATACGTCCAACGTGGTGAGGTTCACCAGCGCCCCAATAGCACTGCCCAACTCCCGGATCTTGTTCTCCCGCAGACTCAGCATGGTTAGGTTGACCAGCTGGCGGAGATCGTCCGCCACGGTGGTGATGCGGTTGAAGCGCAGGTAAAGAGTGGTCAAGCTGCGCAACCGGTAGATCACCGGCGGAATCTCCGCCAGCTTGTTGTGCCGCAGATCCAGCACCTTTAGCTGACTGCAGTTCTGCAGCGACTCCGGCAGAGAGGTCAGCGAGTTCTCATTTAGTGCCAGATTGCGCAGGCTCACCAGACATCCGATCTCCGGCGGCAGCTGGCCGATCTTGTTGCTGTACAGGTACAGCTCCGTAAGGTGCACGCACTCCTTTACCGTGCTGGGAATCACCGTGATCGAGGATTTGCTCAGGTCCAAGCGCTTGATGCCTGCGGGGAAGCATACGAGAATATTATACAGGTTGTTAAAATTATAGCTGGTATAAGTTTAGTACCGAAAAAATGTTTTAAAAAGTTAAAAAAAAAAAACATTTCAAGTTTTAACAAATTAATTAAAAAAAGAAATAAATTTTGGTTAAGTACTTAAGCTATATACATTTTTTTTATAAATTATGGAATGTATTTTGGCCTTGTGTTATATTGCTTATAATATTATTTTTGTGTAAAACCGCTGACTCCTGTTTTAAGAAAAATATTTATATATTTTCGGTTTAACTTGGTTCCTTATTTGCATTATAAATTGTTTGTCATGGGACTTATTCCACTTACTTAACATATTGGAGTTTGCTGTGTCTAGTTAAATACGGTGCTAATAAAATGATTTTACTTGCCTTCATCACGGCATCGCTGCAGCGCCTTGATGACGTCCTGGTCGGCCTGGATGGGCTTGCTTTTCTTGGTGGTGGGCTTGGGCTTGTTGGACTCCGGATGCTTGACGGTCACCATTTTGGGACGCGTCTCGGGCGGCATGATTGCGTTGTTTTCGTTGTGTAGCTGGTTGTGTCCGTTGCTGCCAGTCGACTGCTGTCCCCCTGCGATGGATGCACTCACTCCTCCCGCTCCGTTGGCAGGGATATTATTGTGGGATAGCTCCTCCGCAACGGAGATCGTACCTGCTGTGCCCGAACCACCGCCAAAGCAGAGTGTTGTGCCCTCGGAGGAACCGTCGCTGATCTTGCCGCCGCCGTTCCCGCTTCCACCGCCTCCTCCTCCGCCGCCGCCTTCTGCTCCTCCCCCTGGAACTCCGCCGCTCTTTTCCGCCTGGCCCGTAGACGATAACGATGTGGTCGATGCCGTTGCGCCCGAGGAACACAAGTTCATAATTTTGCCCAGCTTTGCGGTCGGCGGCGACAATGCGTTGCCCAGAAGTGTGCCCAAGCAACAACAGCAGCAGCCGCAGCCGGAGGAACTCGTTGCTCTACCCTGGGAAGAGAAGCCACATATTTATTGACAATCAAAATACCGAAAATAATCTTTGTTTAGGACCGAATTAATCTTTGTGCTTTATTTTTTCCTGCCTGCAATCGCAGAAAAAGGAATGGCGGGGATAAAACACCCGCACTCGTTTATGGCTGCACTTTATCAATTGTGCGTCAGCCGGGCGGCAATCGCATCGTGCGTCATCGTCATGGCTCTACCACCCATCCCTGCCCAAGCCCCAATCCCCAACCCCAACCCAAAACCCCATCTCCACCCACTCCACTTCCAGCCCGGCTTTATTACTTTTGCTTTTGTTTGTCAGTCGCCGTCGCTCCTTATTAACCAGTTGACCATAAAGTTTTCACAAACCCTACACGCAAATCAATAATTAAGCATTCCAATAGTGACGTCAAAATAAGGCAAAACAATAATGATATCGATGAAGTTGTCGACTTGAAATTCTGAGTGATATTTTAAGAGGCAAGCACAAACTTCGAACTGTGAAGTATTTTAACTTTATTAAAAATTATAATTTTAACAATTTAAATTCAAATCAAGTCATTTAAAACCTGAGAAAATAAATATGACACAATTTAATCTTGCATCATACCATTCAAGTTAAAATTTTATTTAAGAAAACTTCAATAAATGCTCTGACACATAAAAATGCTATACTTTTAACAAATACTTTAATGCTTATGTCGGGTTGATGTAATGTTATATTAAGATAGAACCTATTTAGGAAAGTGGTTATTTAAATATACATAAGAACAAAATTGTACGCATGTATAGATAAGATTAGATAAACATCTCTTGCTCTGCGGTCATAAATTAAATTAAATTTCACAGTGTTCTAAGAGGACTCGTACTCTTAAGCTTCTATGATTCTTTAAAAGCCGCGGGCCACGTGCAGGAATCGCATCCCACCCGCCAACCTTGCCACCCTCTTTGCCGCCCACCACGTCACACAAGGAATGCTCCTGGTATTTTAGCGGCAAATGTCAAGGTCAGTGAGAGCGGGTGTCAGGCGATTCCTGTAAAAGCCGGAGCCAATGCCAATGTCAAAGGTTGAAAGTGCACCGTTACGAGGGACCCCTTAAAATACCGGACGTAGCGTAACCCGAACTGGATTGTTATTCAAAGCGAAAATTTGGAGACACGCTTCTCGGATTTCACAGATTTAGCATATGCGAACAATGCACATTGAGGCCAATTAAATAGCCGTTCAAGTGGAAGGTACACGGCAAGAATTCAGATTTTGTAATACAAAAATTGGTTGATCCTTAAATGTAGCCGTAGTTCTGAAATTATTTTTGTTGCTATGTAAGCTTTATGATTTATCTTCCGATCCAAAGAAGACTTTTTGAAAATGCAAATAAGCGGACATGCAGACATAGCTAGATCGACTCTCCTAGTGATGCTGATCAAGAATATATATACTTTTAAGGGTCTAAAATAGCTGTATCACTGTCTTGCAAAAATGTTTAACTGATATAATAATACAAGCGTTTAAAATGTAAGTTTGAGAATTGTTTTACCTATTTTCTTTTCTTCCATAAACAATTTTATCATTAAGAAAATACATGTACATCGAAAAGACATGAAAATATTATGCACAACGAAAATTGAAAATACCTAGAATAACGATATATTTTTCTGTGTGTAGGGTATTTGGTTCTACTGATCGGCTAATGTCCGGGGAATTGTACACAGCTTACGATAAAGACCCCGTAATAATAGATATGTAGATAGGCGACCCGGGGACTGACAGTTCTGATTCATGGTAAATTTCCATTTCTTTGATTGCCATTGCACTGTACGGTCTCAATTGTTGTTATTGTTCTTTTTCGCCTTGTTTGTGGGCGGGGAACCAAACATAAATCGGCACGGATACACATACTATATATTCATGGACGCACAAACATAAACATACACGAGTAAAACGCACTGATAACACAAAGTCTGAGTAATATAACTTACTAGTTTCACTTAATATTCCATTAAATCTTATTTCTTAGAACTCGTTGTATATTTCTTCCGTTCTGGACAGCACCGCACGCATTATTGTTATTATTCAATTTGCAAAAGTCGATTTGTATTCGATGTTTTGCTCTTTGCGTTAGGGATTTGGTACAAGTGCGATTTCTTTTGTATTTTCCCTGGCCACAAGCGCAGTTACACTTTTGGTTTTGCGGTATTTTTTCTTGGGCACAGACGCGGTCACACCAAAAATGTTACTCTTGCCCACCCCTCCTTTTAAAAGGAATGTTAAAATAACATTTCTGTTAAAAAAAAAGTGATCTACTGCACAAGGATAAAGAATACCCCTGTTTATAGACCTTCGAAATGTTTAATTACACTTGTAAAAACATTGATAAGAAAAATTGAAATATGTTGTTAATATATATATATATCCATCGTAAGCTCGTAATGACTCAGAGCAACACACTTAGTTTTCATTATTAATCCATGTGTTTGCGTTTTCATGCATTACATAGATTTTCATTTCATATTCATTTACACAAAAAACAATTTTTGCAAAATCCATATTAATGAAAATTGTATTGTAATATATGTATGTGTATGTACGAGAAGCTCCAGTAAAAGCTTTTCTTACCGAGCTTTGGTATATTTTTGCCTCAATGTATATAATGTTGAACCGTTTCCAAAACTCCAAGGAAAATAAATACAGATTTTACTTTGAACATTTTAGTTGCTTTCCTTAAATTATAAAATAACTATACAACTATAAAATCAGAAAAGATGTTAATTTACTTGCTTGGATTATAAACAATTCACTATACAATTTTCTAAGGACACCACAGTAAACAACATATTCGCCAAAATATATGCAACAAAATGTGGCCGACACACACAAACACACAATCGCGCACACACACATGGGGATGTTATACATATTTTATGACACGCAATTCGATGACATTGCAATGCAGACAATGATTTCCCCCGATTTTCCCCGCAAATATGCAACAATTTGGGAGGTAAAAAAACCAACCTGCTTTTAAATCGCCAAGCGAGAAATCTTCTCCACCTTCAGCGCTCACAAAAACACTCGAGTATATGTGTATTATATCCTTTGTGGTGCTCCTGCCTGCCCAAACAATTTTTGGGTTGCGCTTTTTCGACTTTTCTTTTCTTTTTTCTTTACTAATTCTTTTCCTTTTGTTTGATTTAATCACTGGAACAGCACACTTTTTACTTATTTTTCTTACACTTTAACTTAATTTTTTTTATTAATTATTCTTGCGATTTAAAACATTAACAATGTCGTACAAAAAGGATGGCTTTGCTGGGAAAACAACGGAGGACAATTGGCGATTTTCGTTCGCATCCACATTGCGTATACGACGCGTGCGCAGTTTCTTGCTGGCGCGCTCTGGTGGCGGACTCCGGCATACTTTCGCTTACGAAAACGGCCGCTAGAATTTTAACATTTGCAGCTCATCGTTGGTAATAAATTCACATGCCCTCTCCGCTATAATGCGATAATCTGAAATATGAATGATATACAACAAATTAAATTTTCTAGAACAGAAATCTGTCAAAATTTTATATCATCGATAGAAAGTTTCCCTTAGCCTGATTCTTTTTGTATCAGTCTTGGGATATAAAAGTCCCATATGAATCAAATCATACCCTTATAAATTGGATGACAATATTACAAGTTACTTTTAATTATAAACAGAGTAAAGATTTGTAAAGGTACAAAAAACTATAAAATGTTCAATCACTATTATTTTCAAATAAAGTCATTTGAATTATATTTCAGAAATGTTAGCTGCGACAAAAACAACAAAAAGCAACAACAAAAAGCAACCCTTTTAACCTAAGTCCAAAAGCTTCAGAATTTTCCAAAGTTATTAACACATTAAGATCCTGAATCTTAGACATACCCTTCTGATACTTGCAGTTGTACATTCGCATCACACAGCTGCTGGCAAAAGTGCGCAGGCAACCATCTAGGACGTCCAGGGCACATACCACCCTATATCCCATGGGGCAAACATCATGGCACTTCTTGGGACCTACAGGGGTTACATATTTTTCAAAAGTATTTCCAAATGTATTCCAGATTATGTCTTACCCGTCAAGGCAAAAAGATGACCCTCAACAACGATAAAGATCCCTAGAAGCACACAAGTGAGGAAAATTGTGTTGCTCAACGTGCAGACAATTTTCATTTTTAGTGTCCAACTGTACGCGCTGTTTGCGAATTTCGTATTACAATTTAATTCCACAAAAGTTTTCAGAGAACGTCAAAATATATATTTTGTATATTTCTTGTTGTCAATTGTGTCAATATTTATATAATTCTTAAAAATATTCAGCTGCTTCTTATGCGCCTACCGTCTGCATTCATCCGAATCGCGTGTGCATCGACCTGTCGTGTCTTTTTTCCACTCTGGTAAAATTATTTTTTAATGGATAACTGTTATAAATATGGAAGTTCATTGCAGTTTACTGGATTTTAGCTCACCTTCGCGTTTTTGGCACGCATGCTGATCCATTTCGCAGGGATTTTTGTAGGTGCATCGAATCTCCCTACCGTTCCGCACAGTTTTTCCGCAAAGGTAATCAATTCCACTTTGTGTACAGTCATAGTTACAGACCTGTGACATTGAAATTCCCAACATGGCCAACAAAACAGCTAAGATGATCAACTTCATTTTGGGGCGATAGCAATGTAACTGTCTCCAGCTGCTGATTAAATTTAGTTTTATATATGATCAGATTTAGGCCAGCCAATGAACTCGATTCAATATCTATATTGTCAGAATGAAACAAAGAATTCGCTCCCATATGCCGATCTATATTTTTTTTGCACGTGTAACTACACACTATATATGTTCAGAAAACATTACAATTCAGGTAAAATATAAAATATATTTACTAACATGATGCAACATAAGAGCTACTAAATTTATGACTTACTACGATGATAAAACAAAAGTGTACTTTTAGGCTAAGCTGTAAAATACAAAAATTAAGTGTTCAAGTTCGAGAGTTTCTTTTATATAGTTAATACAATTTTGTATTTATCAAACGTCTTAGTGCTAATAATGAACAGAAAAGAAATTTAAGAAATACGAAGTTGTTCTTGGAAAAATTAATAATATCAAAATACTTTTCCTAAGAGCAGGGACCGACCGAAGGGTCTCCTATATATGCTGAAATTATAGATAGTTAATGAAATTATTTAAGCTTTATGAATTTATTAAAAAAAATTTTTAAGTTTAGCATGTTTTTATATTATTATCTATTTGTATTTACTTACCATTTGCATTTTGGCACGCATACTGTACTAAATGACAGCGATTCTGAAAGGTTTTTTGGCGATCTTTTTTGACTCCATTGAGGTCCACGTAGGAAAACGAAGCACAAAGTTGTAATCCATTAAAAGGACAACTACTTGGGCAGTAAGCCAAGCACTTATCTTGAGTAGTTGGAACCAGAGCTAGACGAATACAAAATTGATCATGCTTTTGATGGTTATTTATACGCTTTTCTTACGTCTGAGGCACTCGTTTTCCCTTTGACAGTTGTGGGATTCAAAAAAGCACGAGCTCTGAAAAACGCGACAAACTCGTCCCGAAATTGTCCAGATAAGATTTTTTGCATAGGGATCACATCGAAAATGTAAGTTACAAGCTCCGGAACAATCTCTGATATGAGCAGAAGCCACATGGAAAAATCCACCAAGCAGAGCCACAATAAGTGAAAGCTTATACACTTCCATTATAATAATGAGTGTTTATACAACATGTGTCAGATTATATAGCCTGATATATCGGAAGATATAAGATTCAACTTCCAGCTGACCAAACAAATTTTTGTGGAATCAGCAGAAATGAAACAATTTGTTTTCAATTTAAATAATCGATATATTTTGTTATGATTATTGACATACCTGATTTTAGAGTTAAATAAAGGTATTTTATTAAAACTTACTTTTATAAACAGTACTATAATTTTTAGTTCCCATTTAATGAAAGTAGGTTCATTATTAATTATAAAAAGACTGATAGATTAACCTTTATTTTTAATAACCCTTTTAGGTGCAGGGTCCAATGCGTGGCTCATTTACATAAGCTAAAAATAAAAATAATATATTATTTTATAAAAGAATATATAATAGTTTTTGGGGTAGTAATTACAACATTATTAGTTTTCCAATTAAATATTTTAAAGCAATACAAATTGCTATGTATTATAAACTTACCGTCGGCGTAACGACAGGCGTAGAGGTCCAAAAGACAGCGACTTCGGAATGTCATATCTCGACTTCCAGTAGTTCCGTTGCTCTCTGTATAGGGAAACCATCCACACACCGGAGGTGCTCCACGAGAACACATCCTCGGGCAGGATTCCATACACTTTTCCTTTGAAATGGACACCATTGCTAAACAACAATACAAATGTTATATTCTTTTAAAAATTGAATATACAAATTGATAGTAGATCAACTTACGGGGCAAGCATTGATTGGCCCTCATACAGTTTTCATTGCCAAAGATGCAGCCGTTTTGAAAAACGCGACAAACTCGATCTACTACTGCCCAGACCAGATCCTTATAGTAAGGATTGCATCTTGCATGAAATATGCACGTATTTGAGCAGGTTGTTGTTTGTGCTTTATTGACGTGAAAAAATACACCCAACAAAACGATTAGTGAAAAGAGCCTGACGTACATGTTGCGAAAGGTGAATGCAGGTGACTGAATCACTTCACGATGGATTCTGATATATTTATAAAGATAAGCTCATCACAGCAAAGTGTTTTGAGCTCGATCTTTAACAATTAAATCATTGTATAAACAGCTGTTGAGGGAAGAAATGCCACCTTATGCAACCTGTTAAATTAAACAAAAAACAATTTTTAGCAAACAATAAAAAATATTCTGTAAATAAATAAAATAGAATTACTTAACTTTCGGCAGCGATTTCTTGCAGTCAAGGTTCTGTGAATACCACATTGCTTAAGAATACTAAAAAGGTTGCCTTGAGCTACGATAATTAATAAGAGGCATATATAACTAAAAAGCGAATAAAAACCGACTTGCATTTCGATTTTTAGTTGAACAACTAACTGGTATTGATATATGAGTTTCATTTACTACATTCGGCTGGAAAATTTAAATTTTCAGACTTAAATTCGATTTGAAACGAAAACCATACCTTACATTAATTGGTCACTTTTCTAGTTCAAAATAAAAACTAAAAGCTATCAGAGAGGCTCATCTTCATTGATTGCAATAATCGTCTTGAGTTTTTGAAAGTCATTGCCTTTGGGAGTTTCCGGTTTTGGCTTTCAATTCGAAAGTAAAATCTACGCACGCGCAATTTTTCGCTTTTTGATTGACTTTGTCTCTTGAAGGTGTATTAATTCGTCCAAAAAAAAAAGCAGCAAGCAAATATTTGAACCCCGTTAAGTAATAAATCTTTGGCTCTGTCAGCTTGGCGACACCGCGTGCGTATCTCGTTGGCCAACTTCAACGCCCACCCGTCGGTCCGCCTCGATTTGGTCCGGTCCGGCCGAAAATACATGACAGTCGACAGGTCGCAGCCAAGTGAATGGGAGCTCTGGGTGTTGGGAGCCCAGAGCGTCTGGCAAAATATTTTCGCCTTGGTTTTGCACTCAGAAAGTCATTTATTTAAATTGAAAATGGAAAGTACAAATTTTATATATATTTCGTAGCACCTGTTAATTCCAAAATATTTTCTCAAAAGTGAAACCAGAATTTTATCCCAAGAACGTAATAAAAAATGTATTAATCAATATTAATTTTGTTCAGAGAAAGTAACATGTTTAATTTGAAAATGTAAAGAAACGTACTAATTTGTATCTCAGCAGACTTTAATTCCAAAATATAATCTCAAAAGAGAAACCCCATATAATTTTTTTTCATTTAATTTTTAATGTACCAAAGGTTTGAATTTACTATGAAAGTAACTAATTAATATCTTACAGTTTCATATATGTTATAACAATCTTAGTTTTAAGGTTCTTTACTCAGTTAAAAATAATACTTATTTTATTTTAGTGTTGCACTTAAGGAGTTAGCTTTAATATATTAACCCGTCTATTATTCTTAAAACCCTTCTTAAAATCAACTTTATAAGTTCGAAAAGTTTTTCTGTTGACCAGCCGATATACACATCTTCCGGGTTTGTCCCGGCACGGTTCATTGGAGTTTCTAAAACCCTTCAAAACACGAATATTTCTATTGTTTTTTAAGCCATTCTTAAATGCCACTTTGATGGGTCGACCCGTTTTCCGATCTTCCAGTATAAAAACAACATTATGACGCTTTTTTTCACCTGTTCTTTTTGGCAGCACATAGTACTTATCCTTTGGATACAGATATGGATAGCATTTTTTACATGAAGTTCTTCGTGATTTCGGCGACTTTGGTTGGATTTCTAAGTGATTTTCAGTGCTTTCATTGGATGCCTCGTTATCATGAATCAGTGCCTCACTAATGAATTGACCGGGTGTCAGATTCATGACCGCCAAGAGCATCCACACCCACACAGCAGGCATGACCGACTTTCATTTGGACCTGCAATGATCTGTTTAGGGAGTTCAAGTAGTGGTCGAAACGAATCGATTTGTGGCAGAGAATGATCGCTGTAAATTGAAATTCATACATATAATTGTTAACCTGGCCAGCACGTTTTCCGCTCGGACTTCATTTGGAGTGATCCCAGACAGAGCGAAGGTTAAAGCGGTTAACCAGTTTTGCAATGTGATCGGTGGGTGTGGAATTTTTGTGAATTGCATAGGCAATTGATCGATGATTCTCCGAAAAGGCAGTTCCACTGCAATAAATATAAAACTGAAAGGCACTTATATAATAATAAACATTTAACAGCTGTGTTTGTTCAGAACCAGTTCATCTCTCTGCCTATAAAAGCTCATCACTTTGTCACTAATCAGTCAGAATAAATCTTATTTTTCATCTGAAATGATCTCGATTCTTATGACCTTGTGTCTGTTTCTCCTCTCAGTTCAAATTGAGGCACAAACCAGGTCAGGTTGCCCAGATATCTGTCCTGCAGTTTACCAACCCGTCTGTGGAAAGACTTTAATAAATGGAAAATCGGTGAAATGTGAATTCAGCAATGGTTGTTTTATGGGTGGCAGCTCCTGTCGCCATAACATACGTGAGTGTTATATATTTCACTTTTTATTTACTTTTTCTTAAAATCTCTAATTTCAATCACCATGTAGGTTGGACGAAAACGTCCTTGAAAGAATGTGTAACAACTGATCCCATATGTAGAAAACTTCGCTAGCTTAAAATAGAATTTGGCAAATAAACAAGCACTTCTTATAAACTCCGTAATGACGTTAATTTACTTACCAAATTCGCTTCGTGTGACACAATTGTTATTCTAAGCGCAAATGAGCGACATTTGTGTTAAGTACAATAAAAATGAGAGCAAACTATTATTTCATTGTATATCAAGAGAAAGTTATTATTTTTGGGTAAGGTCTTTTTTATTTAAGTGGCAAAATACATAATGATCTAATTTTATTTCGAGTTGCCATATGATACGCCTTTGATTTCCTGCTATTTACTTTATTTAATACGCGTTTTAAGAAAATTTAAACATTCCCACATCTGTTTTAGCCAGTGGTGACCTTGGCTAACATATTTCAGAATATGCCTTGGTCTATAAAACCCATATCAACTAAATTGCGAGGGTTAGTATCTACTAAGGTTCCTGTCAAAAAGGCGAACAATGCGCGGCAGAATTCTATTGTTGTGTGCATTAATTTGCCTTTTTGTTATTTTGACTGAGGCTAGACAGAGGAAAGTTAATCGTTCGGGATCCAGATCCTTGGCCGCCAAGAGTGGACTTAGGAATCAACGAAGTAAGGCCAGTCGAGGAAACAGACTCTCTGCCAGAACGAAGAATGCCAGGAAACGCCGACGGAATGCGGCCAAGAGCAACCGAAGGCGCCGTAATTTGGCCAAGAGGTCAAGTCCTAAAAGCAAGGCCAAGTCAAACGCGAGCAGTAGTCGATCAAGTTTTGTCACAATACCATTGGACTTTCAAAAAAATTTTGTTCGAACCACCGACAATCTGCGATTGGAGAAGTCCTTTTTGGCCCGACGTTATGGTTCTAGTTTTGCCAAGACAGGAACCGCGATCCTGACAAATGTGGCGAATATGGAGTACACCTGCAAAATGAGCATTGGCACACCCTACCAGAAGTTCAAAGTACTTCCGGATACTGGTAGTTCGGATATTTGGGTGCCAGGACCGCATTGTGAGAGCAAGGCCTGCAGGAAACATAACGACTATCGACCCGGAAAGTCCAGTACCTATGTAGAGGACGGCACGCCCTTTGACATTGTCTATGGATCGGGTAGTGTGGCAGGAGAGGAGGCCGAGGACACGGTGAGTGTGGCTGGACTGGCGGTGACCAATCAGACCTTCGCAATCACTATCGAGGAACCGGGCAGCGCCTTCGTGACGGCAAGTTTCGACGGAATACTGGGTCTGGGCTACCAGTCCCTTTCCGTGAATCATGTTAAAACCTTGGTACAGAACATGTGCACGCAGAAGTTGATCACCAACTGTGAGTTTTCCATTTGCATGAAGGGTGGCGGCAGTTCCTCCCGAGGTGGTGCTCTCATTTTTGGTAGCTCCAATACCACCGCTTATAGTGGATCGAATAGCTACACCTACACTCCAGTGACCAAAGAGGGATACTGGCAATTTAACCTGGAGGGCATCTACGCGGGCAGCACCAAAGTGGTTGGCTCTGTGCCGGCGATGGTGGATTCCGGGACTTCGTTGCTCACAGCTCCACCAAGAATCTTCGAAAAGATCAAAAAGATTATCGGCTGCACTGAGACCTCCAGTGGAGCTTGCTGGATGAAGTGCTCGAAGAAAATTCCGGACATCATCTTTGTCATTGCGGGCGTGAAATTCCGCATCAGTGGAGAAAAGACGAAGAGGAGGGTGCGGACTAGAAAGGGCAAGATCATTTGCATATCGGCCTGGACAAAAGAGAACTTCGAACTAGTAATCCTGGGCGATGCCTTTATCATGCATTTCTGCACGGTCTTCGACTTGACCAACAATCGCATTGGATTCGCCGCCTCCACTTAGGCTAATCCTCATTATTTAAAATTGTACCTACTGATCTCAAATACAGGGGTCATCATAAATTGTAATATTCCTGATTTATTTGGTTAAAAAAATTACAGCTTAAATTAAAATAAATATTAGTTTTAGTATATTTTTGTTGCACCTTTTAGAAAACAAAACTATTAAAAGTAATAACCTAGTTTCTTTTATTTGTTTCTGTTAACAAGCGGATAACTAAAAATCGTTTGACCTGGATAATTAACCCAAACAGCTGTGAACGTATGTGAGCAAAGATGCCAATAGAAATGCAATAATGGGAGAGAAATGGTTTCAGTTCTTCAAGTAACCTGATCGAAGATGCTTCGAACTTTGTTTTTTTTATTCGCGGTTTTGAATACGACTTTTGCAACTAGACAAATGTTGAAAGTACCACTTTATGTCAGGCAAAAGCTTAATAGAAGTGAGTTGTTCCTCGCCAGAAATGAAACTAAGGAAGGTGACACATTCAGAATGGCGCTGCAGACTCACAAAAACCTTGAGTACTATGGGACAATTTCCATGGGAACCCCGAGGCAAAACTTTAGTGTAATCTTCGACACGGGATCTTCGAATACGTGGCTACCGTCTATCAATTGCCCGAAAAGTAATTCAGCTTGCCAGAATCACAGGCGATACGACTCGACTCGATCCAGTAGTTATATTCCGGATGGACGCAACTTCACCCTGCGATATGGTTCTGGTAGAGTGGTTGGATATCTATCGAGGGACACCCTGCATTTAGCTGGGGCTGATTTACCTGGCCTGATCTTCGGAGAAAGCTTGTTCCTGCAACATTTCGCCTTCAATTCAGTGAGATTTGATGGACTAGTAGGTTTGGGCCTGGGAGCTTTAGCCTGGCCCAACACGACACCTTTTCTAGAACTCATGTGTACTAAACGATTGATTGAAGAGTGCATATTCTCGGTTTACCTTCGCCAACAGTCAGACGATTTTCTTGGAGGGGAGTTACTCTTCGGTGGCATTGACCAATTAAAGTTTCAAGGAAATCTACATTATGTGCCGATCAGTTTATCGAATAGTTGGAGCCTGGAAATAACCATTACCACTGTGGAAACAAAACAAATTGGTGGTAGGATCAATGGCATATTAGACACGGGTACATCGCTGGTTTTGATGCCCCAAGAAACCTATGATAATCTAATAAAGGCCTTATCAGCAAAACTTCAAGATGGCTATAATGTACTCACCTGTAGGAGGGAATCCCTGCCTGACATTAATATTGTCATTGGAGGAAAAGTATTTCCTCTTACATCCAACGATTATCTGATTGAGTTAACATTGAATCGTAAAAAGATCTGTGTGCTGGCCATTGCTCCCATTAAAATGAATTTTTGGGTACTTGGCGATATTTTTCTGGTGCGATACTATACGGTTTATGATGCCACAAACAAGAGGATTGGATTGGCCAAGGCGGTGCGAAGTGCTTGATAAAAGTATACAGTGGTCTGATTCCAGTACAATATCATCTGTTTTTAAGCGTTTTTTTATTTTAATAAAAATGATTAAGTCAAGCTGTACAATTTCATATAATTTATATGATCCTAAAAAAGCAAAGTCATAAATACATGCAAATTTTAAATAAAAGTAATAGACTGGCTGTCAACATAATTTCTGATAATTTCGCACGGGAAGTTTCCATCTCTTCATTGTTGTTGAATTAAAAGTCTGGCCCACTGTTCGCACAATTAAATTTGGTAATTGCCCATTGCTTTGTTTATTCAATTAAATGTACTCGCCCTATTTATCAACTATTTACGCAAACATTGAAGTGTGTTCAACCACCACATTAGCCAATTCCATTTGAATGCCAGACGAATTTGGCCATTAAATTGCTCCATTTGCAAGTGCTATAAAACAATCGCGGCCAGAACCTCTGCAAATTAGTTGAATGGGAATTTACAAACGGTTCGGATCGGTTCGATTTTGGTTGGTCAGCGATGCACTGCCTCTTTTGGCTGTTGTCCCTGTGGACCTTGTGCCTGTTTTGGGCAAGGTCACAGGGCCAACTGATTCGCATACCCATGCAGTTTCAGGCCTCTTTTATGGCCAGTCGCCATCAACAGCGTGCCAGTAGATCGTCCCTTCTGGCCAAGTACAATGTGGCTGGTGGACAGGAGATTACGTCAAGGAATAGTGGAGCCACAGAGACGCTGGACAATCGGTTAAATTTGGAGTACGCAGGGCCCATTAGTATTGGATCTCCGGGTCAGCCCTTCAATATGCTCTTTGATACTGGATCGGCCAATCTCTGGGTGCCAAGTGCCGAGTGTTCGGCTAAGAATTTGGCCTGTCAGCACCATCATCGCTATAACTCCAGTGCCTCAAGCAGTTATGTTCCGGATGGTCGGAGATTCGCCATAGCCTACGGTACTGGAAGTTTGTCGGGGAGACTGGCCCAGGATACGGTTTCCATTGGCCAACTGGTGGTGCGAAATCAAACATTTGGCATGGCCGTGCATGAGCCGGGTTCCACCTTTGTGGATACCAATTTCGCCGGGATCGTTGGATTGGGCTTTCGAGCGATAGCTGAGCTGAGGATAAAGCCATTGTTCGAGAGCATGTGTGATCAGCATTTGGTGGATGACTGTGTGTTCTCGTTCTATCTGAAGCGGAATGGCAGTGAAAGAATGGGTGGTGAGCTACTTTTTGGTGGTGTCGATAAAACCAAATTCTCGGGATCCCTAACCTACGTACCCCTAATCCATGCGGGTTACTGGCAGTTCCCATTAGATGGCATAGAACTGGGCGGTACAATAATCAGCAGGAATCGTCAGGCCATTGCCGATACAGGTACTTCTCTTTTGGCAGCACCTCCCAGGGAATATCTGATAATTAATAGTCTGCTTGGCGGATTGCCCACTTCAAATAATGAATATCTGCTAAACTGTTCTGAGATCGATAAGCTGCCCGAAATAGTGTTCATCATTGGAGGTCAGCGATTTGGATTGCAGCCCAGGGATTACGTAATGACTGCGGCCAATGACGATGGCTCGACAATTTGTCTGTCCGCTTTTACCTTGATGGAGGCAGAGTTTTGGATTCTGGGAGACGTGTTCATCGGCCGATATTACACCGCCTTTGATGTGGGCCATAGGCGGATCGGATTCGCCCCAGCAGCCTAAACAACATGTTTTGCTTAGTTGCGTTGCGAATAGCTAACAAACATCTGTTCTATTTAATGGCAAACTTGAACATAAAACGTGGCCGAAGGGAAATCACGAGAGTTGGCAACAGAGAGAGATGGAAACCAGTTTTGTGGAAAATAACAGCTGACCGACTCACGTTCAGGTTCGACGAGCCCATCGAATTTATTATATCTATATTACCTAAGCCATTCCTTGGCAAGGAAGGTATATGTGTCCAAATAAAATTGAGAATAAAATTCACAACGATTTCTGGGCTATTATCTTAAATTTATAACTTGCACGCTTATATATTTTCATTATTTTGGATAATTGCGTTTTTATGTTAGTGAGTGCTGGTTCTTTTCATTTATTTAATTTGCTTAGTGTTAACAAATTATAATATTTTAATGACTGCGTTCTCTGAAAGTTTCAGTATTGAATTAAATGAAACTATGAGTATTCTCCCGGCTATCATTTCAAATCATCTATTGTTTTAAATGGCTACAACAATGAGCAAACTTCCCTTGAATCAAGCTAGTATGTGACGTTTCTTCATATATTGGCATTGATTAAGATCTCTCAGTCGCTAGAAACGCACCCTACTTGCTAATATAAAAGAGCAACACGCCGTTGAACGGGTCAGTTGGAGAAATATATTCAATATGAAATCATTACTATCGCTGTGTTTCTTGCTGGGTCTGGCATTAACCCAAGTAAGTGCTAGTTGTCCGGAAAACTGCCCCGACACTGAAGACGTGGTCTGGGCTCTTGGAGGCGGTTGCAATGTGTTCCGCAATAAATGCTACTTCGAAAAGGAGAAGTGTCTGACAAATCCAGGTAAGCTTATTTTTATTTATGTTTAAAATTTTATTAAAGACCAACATTTTTAGAGTTGACCATCACCACCAAGGAGGAGTGTCAGAAGTTTTGCGGAAGTGCTTGTCCCCAAGTTTACCAACCTGTAGGAGGTTCTTATAACGGACAGATAAGAAGTTTTGGGAATGAATGCGAAAAGCGTGTTCACACCTGTCAGACGGGTGAAAGTAAGTGGAACTTAAATCGATATAATAGAAATTCAGCATAACGGTTTTATACTTTCAGCCTTTTTGTAAAAGATTCAAATTCTTCAAACGCCCATGGAAATGAAGGGATTTAAACACTCTTAATAAATATGAATAAATAAAAATTGTACTGTATGTATTGACAAATGATATATGGGCGATAAAGGTTTATACTTTTGCAAATAAAAACTAATTTTTTAGAAGAAAATTCTTTTATATATTCGTGTACAACTTTTTGTTTAACAATAATTAGTACTCTTGTTAAGAATCCATTAAAAATATTCTATGATAGATACAAAAATAAATGAGAAAATGTTTGCTGGCTTTTAGCTATGTTAGTGCGAATTGATCAAGAAATTGTACTGACAAGGTTGTAGTCTGGTCCTTAGAGGCGGATGTAGTGTTGTTCGCAATATATGCTATTTCAACAAGTAGAACTGTCTGAAGCTTTTGCTTGGCTTATAGTTGATTTTATAGGTATTAATTAATTAACACATTATTATCATAGCGTTGACCATCATAACCAAGAGGTAGTGCCAGAAGCAAGCCCACAAATTACCAACCCACAAGGGGAACTTAAAGGGGCAGGGTCCATACCTTCAGTAATGAGTGAGAAGAGCGTGCTCACACCTGTAGCACTGTCGAGAGTTAGTAAAATAAAGTGTTTGAACGAAACTATTTACTCTTAATACTTTATATTTTACGGCTTTCGTGTAAACAAAAATATATAAATCAAAAGGTTTGAACGTGAATGCAAATAAATTGATTTTCAGCTTAAAATTAACAATTATAATTTTTGTATGTGGCTTATTAGGACTTATGGCTAAAAAATAGCACAAATAATAATCAGGTTTGTGAATCAAACAGCCACTCAAGTTAGGCAAAGTTTCGCCAAGCCCACTGAATAAAATAAAAATATTTTATTTCTGTTTATTGTTGCATAAAAAGGTATACTGGACTTGGGTCATGTTTTAAAACTCACCTAGATAGTAACGTTTAACTTAGTTAGATAGAATATAACAAAATATAACAAACCCCTTTGAAATCCAGCTAAATTAAATGAATGAGTAATTTATAGGCGATCGTTTCTTGCTGTATAATGTGCAAATTAGATAAAGTGATAAAAGAAAAAAAATCCCCCACATCTGGTGAGCATGTGACGTATATAAAAAATGAATAGGAATCTTTAATGACACGCCCCCTCGCCGAGCGATATATACGAGTGTGAAGCAAAACACCTGTTCAGTTCATCCGTAAGCCTAACAGTTGGCAGAAAGCTCTTCAATATGAAGTCGACTATCTTTATTTGCCTGCTTCTGGGACTGGCTTTAGGCCATGTCAGTGCAAACTGCTCTGGAAATTGCCCCGATACTGAGGATGTTGTTTGGGCTCTTGGTGGCAGTTGCAGTGTTTTCCGCAATAAATGCTACTTTGACAAGGAGAACTGCCTTCGCAATCCAGGTAATTAAACAATGTCATTACTTAATGCAAACTTAGTATATTATATTTAATTTACAATATTAGCACTGACCATCACAACTAAGGAGGAGTGTCAGAAACTATGTGCCGATATTTGCCCCGATGTCTACCAACCGACAAGTGGAACTTACAAGGGTCAACTTCGAAGATTTGGAAATGAATGTGAAAAGCAGGCTCACTCTTGTAGGACAGGCGAGAGTAAGTTTTATTCAAATTTAATTAAGTGATTATCTAACTATATATAATTTATATTGAACAGCTTTTTTGTAAAACCACTTAAACCAGGCAAGGAACCGAAATCGAAACAAATGAAATTAAAAGAAAATATATATATAACTTGATTAGTAGTTGGATACTTTCTTTTCACTTACCGGAATTTAATTAATTAAAATTGTTTTTCATGGATTTTTTTTAGTTTTTTTTTAATTCTACAACTTTGGATTTAAAACTTCGTTCAATCACAGTTAATGTGAGTTACCTTTGAAGGACGAAAAATAAATAGTGAGTCTATACAAAATAAAGTTGAAAGGCCCACGTTCAAGTTCGGTGAGCCCGTTAAGTGCTTAATTATTTTATAAAGTGTATATACTTAAAATATTACAAATTAAAATTGATAATTTTATATGGCAAATCCGATTACTGGGTATTTTTGTAGGCCATCATTTATCACAGAGCGGTTTTATTTGTGAGATCGTGAAAATGAACCGACAATAGAATAAACAACGACATCTGGCACGCTGCCAATATTGACAATAGCAACCACAGAACCCTATATAAGTTCATTATATTAGAGATAAGCAATTAGTTCCACATAAAACTTCGTTGTTAACACCTGGAAATAGAAATTTTCTGTTCGCCATGAAATCATACATTGGGCTTTGCCTGATTTTCAGTCTAGTCTTGAGTTATGTTAATGCCGATTGTCCAGATACTGAGGATATTGTGTGGGCTCTCGGTGGCGGCTGCCAAGTGTTTCGCAATGAATGTTACTTAAATCAGGCCAATATGGTCCGCAAGCCAGGTAAGAATTTTAATTTTTTCTAGAAAATGTAATAGAAAAACGTTTTTACCATAAAGGCTATACCGTCACCACTAAGGAGGAATGTCAGAAACAATGCCCTCAAATCTGCCCGCTGCTTTATAGTCCCACAAGTGGCAATTATAAGGGAGAGATTCGTGAATTTAGCAATGACTGTCAGAAACGGGCTCACACATGTCGCACTGGCGAGAGTAAGTGCAATTAATTAAATTAATTTGACCAAAATCATAGAGTAATTGTTTAATTGTTTTCAGCTTTTTTGTAAACTCACGCGAGTACCTAAAGATGGATATGAATGAATCAAAATAAATATGAATAAAAAGACTTGATCTACATTCTGAGTTAAAAATAATGTTTACTTGGGGTAAACTTAAGCTTACGGTATATAATTAAGCACATGAACAAATGAAAAATAAATTAGAATAACTAGCTATTGCTTCATGTATTATTAAACTTCGTATTTGCATTACAGTTAGCATTACAGTCAATATTACGTCCCAAAAAATAATAAATAATTTTTCAAACGGCTTATTGTAACTTGAAGAATAACTGCTTTCACTACTCTAAAGAAAATAATTTATATATGTTTTCTTTACATTTTTTTTTAATAAGTTAAGTGCTTGAATTATTTTGAACGTAAATAAAACAACAAAAGATAAATTTGAACAGAGCGAAAATCTCTGCGTAGTCCAGACCAGTTTTGCGGATTTTTTGTTTTTATCAGGTCAAGCGTTTTTCAGTTCTTAAAAAATATTTGATAGAATGAGGTTAAAACATCTACAAAGATAATTTTTGAATGGCCTTGTAGAAAACAAAAACAAGTAAGCTTTTGTATGTTGCTATTCATTTATTTAATAATCTAACAATCAAACACATGTTGCTCTTTATTTATTTAATAATATAACAATCGAACACCAAACAAGTAAACCAAATAAATGTTTTGAAATTTAAATTGTGGTATAAGTATACATTTCTGATACTATGTTATCTTTTCTTATATGCTGCTCTTTGTGCTTGTACAAAATAGTAAACCCGTTTTGGTTTCGTAAACATGCGTATAGGTTCAGTAAACCCAGGTTGACATACAGGAGGGTTCAGAGTTCGTAGCTCTAGGTACCGCGTATAACTGGATTAATGGAACGCTCAAGTTGAACGTTCCTAGCCTGCATATACCATATAGCTTGTAATTTATGACTTGCTTTGGTATATTTATATTTTTTAATTAGCTGCTTACCGGCGATGCCATTGCAGTGCTTATCTTTTAATTAATTTCTAATTGAAATGGGGTTCTTATTAAGTTTAAAGTGTTAGACCCGGCTTCTACATCGTCTTGGGTATAAAACTGTAAAGGTTCCTGTGAATTGGCATCAGTTGCTTTTCGAGTAACGAAGCACATAATTGTAATTTGACCAAGCAAGAATGACCCTGCGTTTCGTTTTTGTGTTCAGTGCCTTCTTAGTCCTTGTCCATGGATCTTTTCTCCACGGATCTTTGAATGAAGCCCACCAGTCGGACATTGTTGGTGCTGAAGCGGAGGCTCCCCAGGAAGGATATCTGCCGGCCGAAGATGTGGCAGTGCCTCATTCGCACCACCATGAGCCAGAAGTAGGACACCATCATCACGGAGGACATGGACATCACTACCAGGCTCAATCCCATCACCACGAGCACGGACCCCATCATCACCTGGAATCGCATCATCACCTGTCTGAGTCCCACCACCATCATCACTCGTCCGAGTCACACCACCTCATTCATGGAGCCCCTCATCACCACCACCATCATCTAGAGGCTCCACTTCACGGAATTCATGGAGCTCATGGAATTCATCACATCCACCATCATCGCAATTGCCATGCCATCCACTGTCCCGCGGTCCATAGCCCAACCTACGCCACCGACGGCCACCTCTGCCATAAATTGGAAAACTCCTGCGAATTGGCCATTTTAAACTGCCTGCGTCGCAATGAACTGAAGCCACGTAAGACTTGATTCCATCAAAATTAAAAGCCAAATCTTATATCACTCTTTTTTTTGCAGTTCTGAGGCATATCAGCCAGCACGAATGCCACCATCTGCACAGAGCTCACCGAGCCCACTAACCTAAACCTAAACTGAGAATAACTGATGCTCTGACAATATTTACCATGATTTTCGTTTTATTCTTATCTTAATGTCAATAAATGTCTACTGAAATTATATATTTTAGTTGTCTTGAAAACTTACTAGTCGGTGGGGATTCCCAAACATATATTTTGTTTAATATTTGTTTTTAAATTAGAAGGCCAAACTTTCCAAAGCTCCAGAAGTCATTTGCTTGGTCACTACTTTTTTTTTGTTTTAATCACAAATTAGAATTAAAATAAAAAGATAAATTGAAAACTGAAATTTATGTATTATTATTTTCGTTTAAGAGAAATTATGATACGTAGGCAAGAAATTAACTTTGTTTTTTGTTTTCCAGGTGATATACAAATATCAACCTTAATAATAAACAGAAGTTTTTTCTTATTATATTATATTTAAGTATACAAAATCCAAAATTTGCATATTACGGCTTTAACCATTTGCAGTATGCATCTAATGATTGGTAATGCATCTAAGGATAAATCATGAATAAAAGGGCTTATTGCTATGAAGCTCTTTGCTTTATTGGAATACATCTTTACTTAAAAGTCCCATTAAGCTGAAAATAAAAGCAAATGTTGATATGAGAACTATATCTCTAGTAGCTGCTTTATAATTAATATTTAATTAAATGATGATATGGGTTTTATCAGGAATTAGAAACCGAATTTTATTTTCAAGCTTACTAATAAAAGTCACCTTTAAGCTTATTCGAAATAAAATAAGTCTCTGACTCAGTTAATATCTGACGTTTCGAAACGAGATATTTTCTGTAAAGTAGATTAATATCTTTAAATAAAACTTTATTTTTAACAAATAAAATAAAAGATTAAAATAGCGGTTAAAAATTAACCACGGTTAATGTTTATTAAGTAAATAAGTTTCAAAGGGATAACCACCTTAAAATCTTATATGTAACCCATTTGTAAAACTGCTATTTTTAGTTATTAAAACCATTATTAAATTGAGTTTGATAAAATAAAATTGAATGTAAAATTCGAAAAAAAAAATAAATAATAAGAAAATTAATCATGTCTTCGCATTAGCAAAGTGCAAAGAACTCTCAAATGCAAAAAACTGGGTCAAATTTTAATTTGGCCTACAATATACATATGTGACATCATTCTCTTACAGTAATTAGTTTTAAAATGATGAATTACAAGGTTTGGATATTAAGACTTTGTGTGAGGTTTTCGAGTATAAAAGCCGCGAGCTCGCAGTAGAAAGCATCAGTTGTTTCACGAGCAATAACCACAAATAACCAAAGCAAAATGGCATCCCGCTTCATTGTTGTCTTCAGCGCCATAATCGTCCTGGCCCAAGGATCCGATCTTTTGCCCATCGAGCAGGAAGTGGAGGTGGCAGTCCACTCTGGAGCCGACTTGCCTGGAGCTCCAGTGGCCGTCGTTTCGCAAGGACATCCTTCTCTGTCCCAGCCCATCGGAGCTGCCTACGGCCATGGTCCACTCGCAGTTCCAGTTGGAGGAGCTCATCGCGGAATCGGATTGGGAGTGGCTGGTCCTCGTCCCTATGCGGCTGCTCCCCTTCGTCCGGCTCCTGTGTCCTATGCTCGTCCTGCCGCCGTGGTCGTTCCCGCCGTGGTTGTTGCCCCAGTGGCTCCCATTCGTCAGCCACATGGAGTGGCTGCCCCAGTTGTTGTTGGAGCCGCCCATGGTAATGTGCACCGCAATCCCCATCACGGCTAGAAACCCCACCAAGACGGCTATACTGACACAATGAAAAATCTGAAATCCTTTTCTAAATCCTAATTTAAACAATAGCAAAAGTTGATGATACAATTTAAATAATAAATGGTAAACAAACATTAAATCCAATTGTAATATATTTTATCCGTTTGCCTTACGGGAACGTTGTCAGCCTGGTTAACTGTGAGATGTAGTTCGAGAATCAATAAGTAAAAGAATCAAAAGTAAGTGCAAGTCGTCTGAAACTTAGAAATAACGAACATGAAAATGGGTAAAAAATTTGACTAACGCTAAAATGAAAATTTTGAATGCAGATTTTTAGAGAATCAAACCACAAGTCTTAGGAGGTATGTCACTTTTGAATCGGATTAAATTTGGTAAAGTTATGAACTATAGAAGTCCAATTGTGGGTCACCTTGTTGCATGTCGTCGGAAACTTAAAAATAACGAACATGAAAATGGGTCAAAAATTTGACTAACGCTATAATCAAAATTTTGAATGCAGATTTTTAGAGAATCAAACCACAAGTCTTAGAAGGTATGTCACTTTGAAATCGAATTAAATTTAGTAAAGTTATGAACTATAGAAGTCCAATTGTGGGTCACCCTGTTGCAAGTCGTCGGAAACTTAGAAATAACGAACATGAAAATGGGTCAAAAATTTGACTAACGCTAAAATGAAAATTTTGAATGCAGATTTTTAGAGAATCAAACCACAAGTCTTAGGAGGTAAGTCACTTTGAAATCGAATTAAATTTGGTAAAGTTATGAACTATAGAAGTCCAATTGTGGGTCACCCTGTTGCAAGTCGTCGGAAACTTAGAAATAACGAACATGAAAATGGGTCAAAAATTTGACTAACGCTAAAATGAAAATTTTGAATGCAGATTTTTAGAGAATCAAACCACAAGTCTTAGGAGGTATGTCACTTTGAAATCGAATTAAATTTGGTAAAGTTATGAACTATAGAAGTCCAATTGTGGGTCACCCTGTTGCAAGTCGTCGGAAACTTAGAAATAACGAACATGAAAATGGGTCAAAAATTTGACTAACGCTAAAATGAAAATTTTGAATGCAGATTTTTAGAGAATCAAACCACAAGTCTTTGGAAGTATGTCACTTTGAAATCGGATTAAATTTGGTAAAGTTATGATTTCTACAAGTCCAATTGTGGGTTACCTTTTTGCAAGTCGTCGGAAACTTAAAATAACGAACATGAAAATGGGTCAAAAATTTGAATAACGTTAAAATGAAAATTTTGAATGCAGATTTTTCTAAAAACGGAGAAATATTTTCGTGGCCTAGTTCGGGTTGAGCTCACTGAAAGCTAGTGTAAAAGTATACTATTCATTAATGTACTTTTTTTACACATTAAACACATCATTTTTATAAAAAAAAGCGCATCTGAAATATTTATAAATTACTTTATTTACTATATGAACTTGCATATACCAATTTTAATTGCAGTCCTAACATTTAATTAGCAAAGGTTTGAGGTCATAAACCTTTTATTTGACCTGCGTGAGAGTTGAGAGTGCAAATAACTTTGCAGCTTAAGTTTTGTGAGTCACACGACTTACCTCCTTTATTAGAACAATTAGTTTAAAATAATTAATTGTGCATTTGTGACTCGGATTGTTTTTGAGTTTCAGAAGTATAAATGTGTTGACTTTCCAATAGAAATCGTCAGTTGTCTCACAAGCAATAATCCCAATTAACATAAACAAAATGGCATTCCGCTTCATTTTTGTCTTCATTGCCACAATCGTCCTGGCTCAAGGATCAATTATTTCACCAGTCGAGCAAGGATCACTCGTGGGAGTCCATCACTCTGGAGTGGTTTCATCTGGAGCTCCAGTTGTGGGTGTCCCCCGTGGCCATGCGGCAGTTGCCCTACCTCAACGTCCGGCTTCCGGTCATGGGTCACTCGCCGGTCCAGTTGGAGGGCCCCGACGATTGGGCGGTGCTGGTGTGGCTGGACCTCGTCCTCATGGGGGTGCTCCACGTCGAAAGGCTGCTGGATCCCACAATCGTCCTGCTGCTGGTGCCCATGCAGGCCGTCCTATCGGAGGAGGAGCTGGCCACGGAAGTGCTCATCAAAGCCGCAACCGCAATCAGAAACCCTATTAGGAAACCCATGAAATCCATTATCCACTGATATAAAAACTGTTTCAGACCCATTCTTCATACTTGTTTATTTGTCCATCCTACTAATTCCTTTAAATGATTCTCACCTTACCATATTCTGCAAATAATAACAATTGTTATAAAAAATACTTGTGTTTTATTCGTTTTCTAGTGGTTGGGAATGGGTCTAAAACTAATATATTATTATGGAAAGGATTTAATTTCAATAAAATGTAATATTTTCTTGTTCACAACAGGCTTAACTCTAATAGAGTATGAAATTTATACCATAACTCTTAATTTATTTTTTATATGCTAGCAGAGGTGTAATATTTTGGGCAGAAGTTTAAAACACAGAGAAGGAGACATTTCCGACGTCGATAACCTACGTTGTGCACAGCGTGTTCTAATTTAGTTAAAAGACTGTCTCGTACAGCAGGGGACTTAATGAATCGATTCCAGGTTAATTCATAAAAATTTATATGTTTACCATAATTCTTGCTGCATGACAATTTTTTGGGAAAATTGGAGCAAACTTAAATTTAGTCAGCTGTCAATGCCATTTAAAGCGAGGCGAACGCTGTCACAAACTAAGAGTTTGACTGTATCAGTAAGATAATTTCTAAATTCATATACTTTAGAAAAGTGCTTAGGGATTATTGGATTTTCAAATTGTTTAATTATTTTAAGTAAGTGGGACATCATTTTTTGATAAAACGCCATTGAACATCCCTTGAGTTGACTATATCACTAATTTGTGGCATGACTGCAAAAGTATTAAAAAAATTTAAAATACTGAAAGCTACTTTGGTTACTATAAATATTTTGTTGCATGTGTTTTTAAATCTCTATTTTTTGCATTATTATCAAAATCAAAAAATTATAACATCATAAAATTAAACGGTTTCAAAATTAAATCGACAAAATGCTACACCGACGAAACTTAAATTTTTGTTGCAGTTTAACACCTGATTAGGAGAATTGCCATTCTTAAATAGGTTTAATAATACCATCAACAAGAACCTGAGTAATTTTAAACAAATCTATGAAAATACTGATCTAGACATTATGCCTATAAACTCATTGTAATTATCGGCTGTTAATAATTATTAAAAAAAGCATACCTGACATTAAAAATTATTAAGCCCAAGATTGTATAATTTAAATAGATATCCAGAAGATAATATAAAAGTTAGCCAAAAAATGAAAAGTCAAATTAAATATGAAAAGAATATGCGTAACGTAATGTTCAGCTAATTATTAATTCTCTGAACTGTAAAAATTTTTCTTCGGCCGAGACAATAGGATCAGTGAACTTAGGCTGACATTAGAACGAGTTCAGAGGGTGAAGTTATTAAAAAGCTGGGTCAAGCGAAAAAGTTTTCGGACGCACGTGTTGACATTTCCATTAATAATTATTCGTTAAGTGTTTTGGTGTTTTGTGTTTAGATTTTTATATAATCGTGTTCGACTATAAAAGCGTTCATTTTTCACGTTTAAAGTATCAGTTTAACCTGAGGCATTCTTCCAAATAACCAACCTAAAATGGCATCCCGATTCATTGTTTTCTTCAGCGCCATAATTGTCCTGGCTCAAGGATCAAATATCTTGCCCATCGAACAGGAATCTGAGGTGGCAGTCCACTCTGGAGTCGTCTCGTCTGGAGCTCCTGTTGTCGTCGTTTCCCAAGGACATCCATCTGTTCATCCTCAGCCCCAACGACCAATCTACGGTCATGGCCCAGTGTCTGTTCCAGTTGGAGGACCTCATCGTGTGATCGGATCAGGACCTCGTCCCTATGTGGCTGCTCCTCTTCGTCCGGCTCCGGTATCCTATGTTCGTCCTGCTACCGTGGTTATTCCTGCTCCTCGAGTGGTCGTTGGCCCTGCTGTTCCCATCCGCCAGCCCCATGGAGTGGCTGCCCCAATCGTTGTTGGATCTGGACACGGCAACGTTCACCAGACTCGTCATCACGGCCAGAGACCCTACTAACAAGCCGACTACCCAACTGTACCACTTTTAGCAACAAACAATTCGATTTAATCTAAAAGAGTTTTCAACTTTTTAAAACTTTCCTGTATGTCCCTTTTAAAGCAATAGTAACGGAAATAAAAATTGTATACCCAAACATTGTACTACCGTTTGAGTACTGTTAATAAAAATCAGATGCCACAAATATTTTTCAGTTTTTCTGGTATAAGGAACACGAAGTTGTGGAACTATAAAAGTTTGTTCTACAACAATATATTATAATGTATAATAAGAGGTCGAAACTTAATTTTTAGGTAATCTTTCTGGTTTTAAATAATCAAATTAATATATACCTATTCGTAATGTTTTGTGGGAACAACAATAATTTTGCAGCTTTAAGTCTTTACATCTATATATTATTCACAGCAGAGTGTTTTAACTTCTTAGATCGCAGTTAACAACACAACTATATTAGTTATTAAACCTGTGTTTAGATACTACATTTTGGGAATCTATTCCTCCCAAATTAATCAGAAGAAGCATTCAATATATATCTATTTACTGACATATTTTATAAACATTTTGTATATGTATACATATCAAAATTTTTTTTTATTTTAACCAAAAAAGTATACACCGAATTATACACAGAACATGATACATTGGTAATGCCAGCGAAATACAAAAATGTTTAGTTTGGATACTTGAGGACTAAAAAAAAATGTATTAGGTATTTTTATTTTTAATTAATATTTAATGTTAATAGAAAAATTAAAATCAAATAAAAATATAAGAATTTAACACGTTTATAAATGTTAAGAATAAAAAAACTTCAACAAATCACGATAGCGTGTTGATGAGTATAGGAATGATATTTTACATTAAGTGAAGTTCGGAGAATTTAATTTGAGAAAACTGGATCAGAGAGGAAACTCCAGAAAAATGTTATTTATTACACTTTTATGTAAGTGATTACACTTCAAGTAATTAAATAAGAATTATCCAATTTGTTTGCCATCTTTCTTTTCTTCATGTAAATTCTATGGCCTATAAAAAAGCATGCACATCCCCAAGGTACCATCAGTTGTCTAACAATCATCTAAAAATTAATTTCAGTTCTCCTCAAAAAAAAAACAAAAGCAAATATGACATCCAGTTTCATTGTTGTGCTCAGTGTCCTGATCGTCCTGGCCCAAGGATCGCATATTTCGCCAGTGGAACCGGAATCCCCACTGGAAGCCCATTCGGCCGGAGGTTCTTCTTCGGGAGCTGCAATTAGTTTCCCCGAAGTGCGACCAGCCCCCGGATCGCAGTCCCAACCTTCAGCTCCTCGTCCCGTGTCAGCTCCTCGCCCTGTGGTTGCTTCTCGTCCTGTGGCAGCTCCTCGTCCTGTGGGTTCTCCACGACTTGTAGCTGCATCTGCTCGTCGACAGTCTCGTCCATCTGTCATTGTCAACGCTGGACGTCCCATCGGCGGAGGAGCTGGTCATGCCCAGAGCCGGAATCGCATCCAGAAACCTTACTAAATCAAATATAACACTGAGGCACGGCAGATTGATCTGAACAATGCAATTGACTTAACAAATAAAACTCGTATTTTAAAATTATAATTACATTCTTTTTATTTAAAAAGAAACTTTATTACTTTTTTTAAAAAGAAACTTTATTTGATCGTTTCTCGTGTATATAAAGGGTATAAATTAATCTGAACTTTTATTTTCCCAAGGAGTAAATGCATATGCGCAATCCAAAGTTTTAAGAAAAATAACATCATTTTGCAAAATGATCTGACTTCTATTTAAAAATTCCAATGTAATAATATTGTTTTTATGTTTCGATAAAATTACAAATGATCTTTGTAGATGAATTTCAAGACACAATGGTTTTATATATTGCATTAATGCTTGGTCAAAAAAATTAAAAATATTGAAAATCTAAAGGTAATTTGGTTTTTAATTGCTAAACTTCAAATGGTTGGCGACTTTTTCAATTCACTTTCAGACTTTTAAATTCTTGCTGGAAATTCGCAGTGGGGCAAAAAATGTTTAAATCATGAAGTGCTCTCGGTTGGGTGCTTAACTTGTCGCCAATGATTTAGTTAACAAACTAAACATTTCATTAAAGGTGCGATTGGTGTTAAGGATTAACTGCTGGCAATAAACTGTGAATGGTAAAAATGTTTACCAGATTTATATTTAAATATTTCCACCATTGTAAAAAAAATATTACACGCGTTATAGGTTTTTTATAACAATTGTTATTATTTGTATTGAGTAAGTAGGTAAAAATAATATGGTACAAAAAAGTTCCAGTATCGAAATAAGTTTGGTCGTATGCTGATGGTGTAGAGCGTTTCCTAGTAGGGTTTCTGGTTGCGATTGCGATTCTGGTGAACATTTCCGTGCCCAGCTGCACCTCCAAGTGGGCGACCATGAGCGCCAGCAGAAGGACGACGAACAGCACCACCATGAGGACGAGGGCCAGCCACTGCAGCTCCGCTCAATCGACGGTGTCCTCCAACTGGACCAGAGATTGATCCATGACCGGGGGCGGGACGTTGGGGTTGGGGAGCAGCTGAATGGCCACGTGGAAGACCCGCCACTGGTGCTCCAGATGAAACCACTCCAGAGTGATGGACTCACCACCGACTCGTGATCCACTGAAGACAAATACGATCCTTGGGCCAGGACAACCAGGGCACTGATCACGAAAATAAAACGGAATGCCATTTTTTTGTTGTTTGGAATTGAACTTTTGATTAGGTGCTCGATTGTTGATTGTGAAACAACTGATAATTTCCTTCGAAAAAGTGTTTACTTTTATACCAAAAACTTTGAGTTCTCCAAAAAAAAATTAGCATTCAAAGCATTTTAACTTTATTAAAAACTTTTCAAAGATTATCTTGATAATGACAGTGATGTCATGAACGAACTTTAGTCTGATTTAATCTTAAGTTTCCCTTTATGATCCATTTGACATTATTTCATTATTTAGCAATTAGTGAATAAGAGTCTTATTAACTTATACAAATTAAGTCGTTCATCAACCTGTCTAATATTTATTACATACAAAAAAAAACAATGTATCTAAAGTTGAAAACGCAATTTTCAAAATCAAAGCAAACACAAATATTTTGATAGATTTACCTTTTTTACTTATTCGGCCAGCTCCTAAAAGCAATTTATGCATAATACATGAATGGCTGGCTAACACAGAAGCCCCGTTTTCATAAAATTATGGCTTAACTAACATTGCTGGCAGCTATCGGCTTAATTGGCATATAGAAGACTTGATTATGGCGGCTATTACCTAGACGAAACCATCATTGAGATTGCCAGGAAGTTGAGTATTTGCGAAATCGGGTCTTAAAATATAGGCTTATTCAAGTGAGGGAGATCGAAAATAATAAGTAACCTTGCCATATATATCTCAGGGTCTGTTTATTATCCATAACAATGAAAGCAAATTAGGCTTATGATTGTCTAAGAAATCGCACACCCAATTGAGTTTTGATAGGTGGGCAATAATAAAAAAAAATGTTAAAAATGAAATGTCATGGTGGCAACATTTAATAAAATTACGTAAAAATCATTTTGTGATTTCCACAATTTAGAAAGTGAAATCAAGTGTGTGAACCAATTTGGGTGTATCACTTATATGGGAAAAAGTTTACTTCCAATAAAAAATACTTGAACATTTTGAAAAAATAAAATTTTAATTACATTTTTATTGGTTCTTCATTTGGTTACTTAATTTGCCACTATCTGAAACTCTACTCCCATGCAATCGTGACTCATTCGCAATGTTGTCGCCAGCTGTGCGATCTGGGTGTTAACACTTTTTATTTATTTCTATTTCGTTTGTCAAGCTGACATGCAAGCGTTACGGGTTTCCAGTTACTCGTTTTAATTTTAATTACATTTTTCGTATACAATTAGCTAACAAATCAATGAGAAACCGTTAGACAAAAAGAACAAATGGGGGAAAAAAAAACACAAACACAGAAAAATTGTATATCAGCAATTGCTCAATCGATTCGATCAAATAACAAATAACTTTGTGCCGAATATTGACATTTCGTAAGCATTTGAAAAGTGAACGCGACAACAACAAACCTAAATGCAGTGCGTTGGTAAAAATCTTGAACACGTTAAGAATGCTGGCAAGGTTGTCTGCCACGGCAGCTGCCGTTGTGGGCCTCCATCTCAGTCTCCGGTCTCGATCCTCCGACTGCGTCTCAATCCTAAAGTCTAACTTAATTAAATTGGATTTTATGTGCCGGATTGGATCGGCCATTTGGGGCCTGACGACCATGGCGAGGTGAGGCTAATCAAATGGCCAAATTGTAGGCGCGTTTTACCATTCAACCGCCAGCCAGGCCAAGTAATGAGCTTTTTGTCGGCTACACGACTCTATTATGATGAACATGGCAATCGTCCAGCGATAAATATCAATTAAGACTCCGTCAAATGGCTCAATGGCAGCAAGAAAAATGGTAAACTAATACCGCAGACATGCTAATGTTTTGCTCTACATTGAGGCTGTGCGTAAACAAAAATGTCACACGCCATTAAAAATTAATAGCATGTTTAAAAAGCAAAAAAGCCGAGTAAAAAAAACAAGCAAGATTAAATAGAGAAAAAGGAGTCAGCCAGACTCGATGCAGTCAAACCGGGTCGATAATACAAAATTTCGGCATTAAATGCTCATACGACAACGTCAACCCCAAACAAAAATTGAGTTAAATAAAAGAACAAAAACGTGGCATGAACAACTTTTCAAAAAATGCGTGGTACATTGTTAATACTGATCTTGTTTTTTTGGTTGCTGCTCTGGTCCAAAAATGTTGCACAATATTCGTGCGTTCATGCAAAGCAATTGTCAAATGCAACAAAGCCCAAAGCCAAAGGCCACAAAATCGATACGGACTCGACTGTTGGCCATAGCCAAATTTACCACAAGAAAACTCCATTTTGCGGTGCTTAGGCGAAATTAATATCAACTGGCCCGCATTTTGACGTTTTCTGGTTTACGTTTATTATTATTAGACACCTTTGCATTACTTTATTGTATACTCCCTCCGAATTTTGACTTATGCTGAAGGCCTGCCTGATTTGTGTGTGCGGTTTGACAAATTAAATTAATTGGCTAGTACTGATATGCCCGCAGTTTCTTTGAGGCTGTAAATGATTGGTCTGCCGAAGGTGCAGCTCGGTTTGGCAAATTGAATAAGTACGTGAAGAAAAAAGAAACGACTGCAGATTGAGATTTTATTTTTACATGGGCATGGAAGATCACAGATAGCGGTGTAGGAGTTGTTTGGTGGAGCTAAGCCGTCACTAAATAATTATTGAGTCTTCGGCTAATGGAAGTAAAAAGTGTTTTACTGTGAAGGAGTATTTGGTTGCAATGGGTTTAATGATTTAAAATCAAGATTGTAGTAAATGAACAGCTATTCGCAGTAGTTAATTAAATGGTTTCTTTGATTAACAATATAATTTGGATTAATATATTAGTGATTATCAAGTCATATTTTAAATTGGCCTAAACAAATTTAGAATTCTGAACCATTTGCTTTTAGTATCGGTGTCTCATGAAATTTACGGAGTATTAAACATGAGATATACCTAATTGTGATTGTAAATCAAGAGTTGAACAACATTTTTCTAAAAGTTGTCAATGCTTATAAAAAAAATTTTATTTATATTGTAATATAATACAAACCTTGAACTTTTAGACTTTTTTTTCTAAATCGGTTATAAATTTTATTTTGCATATTTTATTGCATGTTAAAATACTTAAGTAATTTATTTGCTTACCAATGGCGATTTTAAAATGTCATTCGGTAGACTTCAAATCAATTGAAAAAATAAGCAACACAAGGGTTTTATTACACGTAAATATATGAATATCAATTAATAAATCAATAAAGTAAGCTGAAAGGGTTTGATTATCTCAAAAATAGAAATACCCCTAGATGCTATATTTAAGTTTTAAACATTAAGTTTGGCGTAAATTTAAATAAAACGTAAAGTTTGTAACTGTAATATCCAATACATTTATTAAATAATTTTAAACATTTTTTGTGCATTATGTGTTAGATTAAGTGTTCCAAAAAATCAAAAGACTTAAGATACAAAAGGCGTTTTACCAAACCAGTACCTTTGAATATTATTTTATAACAATTTTTACATCGGCTAAATCAACAATCGAAATCGAAAGACTTAAGACACGAACTGCGCACTACATAACCCACCACAGAATCACTCAATTCACCTCACAACAAAGCGCACGCAACCCAACACGATTCCACTCAAACTTTCACTCAAAAACGAGTCGGGCTTGGGGCGTCTGTATTTATTTTTTTTCGCCGCTGCTGCCGCCGGCACTTGGCAGCTGATAACCGAAGTCTGCTGACTGCTATCGCTACTCCACAGAGGCTGACGTCGACGGCGGGCCGGCTACGTTTGTTGGCTTCTTTTTTTGGCTTTTCTGTGGCAGCATCGGCTGGCAAAGCTCAGTTAATTGTTGGACACACTCCGTGGCGGTTGTGCAGGCGGACGAAATCGACTTTGAGGCGCTGACGGGGCTCTTTTCGTGTGAGTGAGTGAGTGTGCAGGAAACGAGGTGCATTGGAAAAGAAGTAAAAAGAAATAAAGTGACAAAAGGGTTAGGCCCCCAAGTAAAAGTTACCCGCAGCCGCGACAAGTGCTTGATAATTGTTGAATTCTGGCACCGAACGAAAGACTCTGGCAACGAACTCGGTGAACTCTTCGCGCCAGTCCGTTATTTATTGAGGCCAACTAAGCGTGGGCCATCGTCTGCCATAATTGGATTAATTCACAGCTCTTGGACACAAAGTATTCGCCAACCAAATATAAACAAAGTAAACGACTGTATACCCAACGCATTAAGAGAAGTCATTAACAACGGCGGCCAACGGCCAAGTGGCAACGTGCAACGTCAACAAAATGATCTTAAGGTATGTACGTTGGCTATTTTTTAATGAGCCGTACTCTCAGATTTGGTACACATTTTTCTAGTTAATTTCCTGTGTGTGGCAAGTAATCGTTTAGGCGTCTCGGAAATGTCTAGACCAAGTTGGTGACTGGTTCTAGCCATATTCCAGCTCATTTTTATGTAATTTTTACGTGTCTGCCGCTGACTTATGACAACTTTCTGTGAACATTTCTCCACCATACCCGTTCTGTTATTTTTTATTATTCTCTGTGTGTGTGTTTAGCTGGAAAGTTCTGAGTCGTTGGCACAGAAAGTTTTCGTTTGGTATGCGGCATTCTGGTGATTTTCGACGAGTGATTAAACGGCATTGCGCCATATATGTGTTTTGATTATTTCATTTATATTCAGGCCAACCTCTTCGCTGGTTGGCTTTAGCCTGTTGAACAACTTCCCATGCTAATGGCTTCCTGCCACTTTCTATCTGACCATCCACGCGCCAGGCCCAGCTCGTAATGATGAACAAATCAGCGCCTGGAGCAACGGAATTAATGAGCGTATAGGTCACGCTCTTGGCCATCTCAGCTTCCGACGAAAAGCTCAAACTCACACCTTCAATGCGGGCTTAAAATAGAGCTCAGCGGGAGTCTTTGGTTTCAATTTAAATAGCAATTAGTTTGAGGCGAAAGATAAGTTTTTAGGCGCCGGTCGAGGTTTTTAATGCTCACAAATACGGTTTATTTTTAGGTAATTATTAAATTGCCTTTCTAAATTTCATAATTGTTTTAATTTTGATACTAAACAATTATAAGTGATATATATTTAAAAATACTCTATTATATGCAAAATAAATATATATTTTCCGGTTATTTTATATTTATGTTTTTTTATATTATAATTGATTTTTGTGATGGTAAGATATTTATGATCTCATTGCCACAAATCGTAACTAGCTTCAAACAAGTAAAATCGTAGACATAATTTTTATGTTTATGTCGTTTTTTGTAATTTTTTATTACGATTCAGGAAAATATAAAAGAGCGGTTTACCCTGGCGCAATTTCAAATAATAATTTTCCCACTTGAAATAACTGATATTTTTAAATTCAAACAACCACTAATAGTTTTTCAATGATATTTTGTTTGTAATGTAATAAGAGGATCGGCAATTTTAAACAAATCTGATAATCGAAAGAATACTTATGTGTACAGTTGCTGTTTGCCATTTTAATTCTTAAAGCAAGGCAATCGAGCCGGAGTTTATCCGCTTAAAACCAAGGCTAAGACGTCGCTAGCCCTCGTTTTAATCAGGCTTAGTGGGGGCTGGGCGGGGCGTGTCCAGGTGATTTGTCATGTACCTGGGGACATGGTCATAACTTTCCGGCGAGTTCTATCGCCTAACGGTAGTTGGCTGGCAGCTCACACCTCTATTAACTGGCCAACGTGGCATACTGCAATGAGCATAAAAACCTGGCTGGGTGGAACTTAGCGAGTGCCTGTTAATTGTCCACGGTTTGCTGGGTCGCCTCGTTCGCTGATTTGTTTTTCCGAGTCCCCATAAAACATAGTTATGACCAAGAACTGAACTGAGTCTTTGCCTCTTTTTTCAGTTTTTAGTTTTTAGCCAAACGGGGTCATTAACATTTGATGCGAAGTTCAAAGCGAGTTGCACAATGCCCGTGGATGGATGTTGAACTTCACGTTCAACCAGTTGCCAGCTGAAATCGATCAGGCAGCGATTTACTTTCTCCTTAAATGTAGAAGACCAGAAACGGAGCAACCTGTTGATTTCCTGGCTCGCAGGCCACATCTGCCTCGTGACTTGCCACCAATCCGGTCTCGAGCTCTGCGCAAAATGTTATAAAATGAAGACATAATTGCGGGGCAGGCGAAAAAAAAATGGAAAAGGGGGCGGCCAGCGCTGATTGCCGCTCTCCTGGCTGAAATTGTGTCAAGGCTGCCAGCACTTTTGGCACCGCAAAACGCAGCCACTTTATTTGCATGCTCGCATATAAATCAGACAATCGGGGCAGGGCGTTAGTGCCAATTTGGAAAGCGGCATGCGAAGTGCATTTAAAGATCCCAATCGAAATCGAACTCAAATCGAAGTCGAGATCGATACCGGGCGATAAAAAGTTGCATTGTGCTGCGTTTTAATGAGTGCCAAAGCCATTTTTACGACAGTGGTACTTATAAAATATATAAAAATAATGTAAAATCCATTTATTCATTATGCAGAAAAGATCTTCGGAAGATTAAAACTATTAGATAATTATTTTGGAAAGTATTTGTCAGGAAGCAGCAGGAAACAACAAATTATAATTTATCATTTATAAGTCATTAAATAGTATCTAACGAGCTCAATATTCCGAAAACGCAACTTGGGGAAGTTCATGCTATAAAAATCTGACCGTGCCTATATCGATCAGCATTTGGAGCCTTTGTTTGCGACCAAATGACGGCCGCAGGCAAAATCTTTGGAGCTGGATTCGTTACATAAACCGCCTTACAAGGTTCACAAGACAAGAGGCAGCCAAAGCCATGACTTGTGGTAGCATATTGCCGTTGTTTTCCCCTTTTTTGGGCAAAATGTCTGTCTGATGTGTTTGCCACAATTACTCGCACAGCTCATGCAATCCCTTGCCCCAGAGAAGAGCGGTGGAAACATTGAAACAAATCATTTTGGGGGCCTTACATTGATGGATATATGTACGCTCGGGTACATTATATTTGGCAACTGCTCGATTTCTTAAAGTGAATGCTGGTCAACATTCACTTTTGACTCAAAGATCTCCTTCTTTTCGGATGCTGCTGATGATGCGCCATTAATGCGCTACATTAACGAAAATTACTCAAAATCATTTCACTTTCAAAAGCCAAATTCACGTCATGCCTGCCCACGAACACAACCAGCACCTGAATGGGTTTTCTATTTTCGGTATATTTTGGTAAATTAGATATTTTTTGCGCCCTGGCTGATGTTGCTTTGATTTCGCGAACATCGCTGATTGATGTTATAACAAAAGAAAGTTGATCGAGCAGGGATCATGGCTGGAGAGGATGGTGATGGTTTGATTGAGTGGACGAGTGCTTGAACGTGCTGCTCTTTATGAATGGACGCCAGGGGTGGGCCTCCTATTTACACTGGTCCGATGATACAACTACGTGCCTCTTCAGCGATGTTTGGACCACTGAATGGTGCTCTACTTGGGTCTTTTGTTCGGGTGAAATTATTTTATTTATTTATTTATTTGCTTATGTGCTGACTCACAGGTCGAGAAAGTGTAGCAAATAGGTATGACAAAATGAAACTTATTGCTTTTCAACTGTGAAATGTATGCTTTTAAACAGAGAACAAAAATAAGTGAATTTGTGTTCTTTCTATCTTTCTAAATTTTCCAACTTAAATGTTAAATAAATTATAAAAATAAATTCATTAAATAATACTTAATATCATCTATTAAATGTAAAAAAATAGAAAGGTTGAAAAAGGATCACAACTAATATTAAATAAATAATATTTGCAATAATGTATTTTTATGCCATTTCTTCTAAAACAAAAGCCAGCACTGGCAATAATTGGTTTTACCCAGTTCAATGGAGGAAAGTCGATTAAAAGGGAAATACGGTCAAGAGGTTTTTCCCAGTGTACCTTTTAATTAACCCGCCCACAAGCGTGAGAACCGAAAGTGAAAAGCTGCGATCAAGGCGGCACTGGCTGGCCCCTTATCAAAGAACCCACCGCGGAGATTGCTAATTGAAATGCAGAGGCTGTCGACGCAATTCGCAGCAGATTTCTCGAATGGGATCGTGAGAGCCCTGGTAACCCAAATGGCGTGCTGGATTTGATTTGTATGTGCACTCGTCAGAAATTATGTGGCAACTGACGGCAAAACTGTGAGCCGGCGGTGCAAATTGAACAGTAACAGTAACAGCAACAGATGCAACCGCCAGTTACATATTTTGTGTGTTTCTGTTTTTTGGAAAAACTATTTAAATAAAGCACAAGTATGCTGCATGTCGGTATGCTGGGCAACGCAACACTCAAACCGAACCCGAATAATCACTTGGCTCATTTGTAGGCAGGCCAAGTGGAGTGCTCATGTGTTTTTATTTTTTATATTTTGAGCTTGCAACATTCGCACTCAAATTGATGATGATGACGATGATCAAGACGATGTGCCAATTGCCAGCCATCGTCTATTGAATGCCTGAGCAGGCCGGCAGTACCAAACCGAAGTATAAACATAAAATTTGGTAATTGTTGCAGCTATTTTGGGAGACCCGGGGGATCCAGACTGGTGAAAGGTGTCTGCTGCTCACGTGGCCCACTCGCAACTCCCTGTCATTTTCTGAGGATACTCAGCCGCCGCGCAGAAGAGCACTTCAGACTTGGCTAAGAAAGTCAAGGCGGTCGGCTTGTTCGCCGAGAGCCAACGCACAAAGCAGAGTTCACAGAAAAAAATGATTTATTACTATTGTATTACCAGCAAAAGAAAAACAAAAATAAAATTGTCTTTTCTCACTTTTACTGCGAGTTAAAATGAGTTAGATAATTTTAAAGTGTTTATAAATTTATATATATATATGTTTATCTTAATTTATTTACGCCTAACACAAAAATAAGGGCGCAAGTACGCAAATCTGTGTAAGCAAAAATCCTTGAAATTTTTTCTCCCCGTGTGGAATTAACATCAGATGCAAAAGTTGTTTTCATTTGATTTATGCACAATCAATGGCAGGCTGCAGCCAGTTTTGCATTGAGTGTTTTCGGTCAATAAGCTGGCATTGAATTTGTCGCTGGCTTCGACTTACTGATTTGGCTTAGCCACTGCAATTTGTATGCAATTAGCCGCGAGTTGGCCAGGTATAAATCTGCAAGGGGCGGCCGCCCAATTAATAAGCTGTTAAATGCGTCAGATTGCCGGCTTCGGTTATCAGTCAGTTTGTGCGGAGATCAAAGCCAAATTTAGTTGGTTTTTCGACTCGATGGCCAGCTGCAGTTCGGTTACATTCTATTTCAGACCGTGCAGTCCATAAACCGCACGTTAGCCGTGTCCGATGTTATCGCGATTGCGTGCCGGTCGGGTGATATATCAAAACCCTTCACATGCCGCGAATTCTGCACAGGAAAACAGGATTCATATTGGCTAAAAGTGTGAATATTTTCAGGCAAACTGAGTAAATTTATTTAGTTACTTCCCACAAAGCTACTCCCTGCAAAGCAATATAATATCAGTTCCATTTCATATACCCATTTAAAGAATATTTTGGATTTATTATTAAATAAATATAATATGATATAATAACTTGTTAAGGCCTTTTGTGTGTATAATATTAAAAGAAGAACTTCTCTGCAATTAAATATTTTAGAATAACAAACTACAAGTATTTCGGAGTGCAAAAGTCTGTATGCAAGCTTCAACATATTTAAGCCTCTAATATTATCAATTATAAATCCATTTGGCACAGTGTAACTGTGTGAGCTCAAATAGATTTTCTCGCAGCGATAGGATCGCGAACGTTTTGTGGGTCAGAGAGCGAATTAAGGCAGCTATGTCCCGCTTATCGTTTCTTGTACTGTATGCCATCGAATCTGCATTGCCAATTTATGGCACAATAAAATATCGAAGGCGACACTAATGCCACATAAATGTGCGTCATGTTGCAATTGCTCTGCCGTTAATCAAGTATGCGCCATGTGTGCCCCATTGATTCGATATGTTTCGCACAGTTTTTTCCTAGCTGCATGCGAAATGCCAGGCGGATGTGAAGACATTGGTCACTAACGTTACCTGTCTGGCCAGAATCAATTAAGCAATTGGCCAGTGCAAAGCGTTGAACGAAGCTAAGTGCAACAATTAAATCAGCTATGGCATTAGCAATCGTGCCCAGAAACGAGATCCACTCAGCATGGGTTTACCGATGGATAAATATGCAACAGCATATGGCGATATTTGCACATCGTAGATTGCCGGCACTCAACCTCTTGCCGATTGAGTGGCTTTAACTTTAATCAAATGCCGTTGCTGTATTGGGTATTTCAAGTCAAATGATAAATGATCGCTAATGAGAGGTTTCTGGCTTGTTGCTCTTAAAAGTAATAAAATTCATGTTGAGGTCAGCAGATATGTGCTTTATTCTTGGACAAAACAATATAAGCTGAGTTTTCAGTTTTCTAATAACAATTACAATCAACATCTACATATGCTATTTATATTATTCTTAATTTGCTAATTAATAAAGCAAATCAATTTATAGTTAATAATTTTATTATTTGAGTTACAAATTAAATGCATTATTAATAAGAGAAGCTTGTAGTACAAACAACAATATAAATTCCACTCAGTTTTTACAATGTCATCTACATTTTGTGAGTAAAATGATGGGAAGTTATATTAAAGGCCCTTCCCATAAACCTAGATTTGAATAATAGAAAAACTATCAAACTCTTCTAAGAAAACTATAATTGTTTAATTTTATGTTAGATGCAATTTCAAATATCTTAACGTTACCATACTTAATCACTATCAACGAAAGTGGCTGTCGTCACATATCAAAACCAGTAAACAGCTTTAAGATAAACGTAAGACATCTTAAGCATTTTCCGATTTCTGTCATATTTTCATTTTTCCATACTTAATCACTATCAATGAAAACGTTGCGAAGATAAATTATAAATTTCTCTAGGCATTACAAAAGTCATTTCCACACTTTAACATGACATCGAAAACTAGCTAAGTCGGGGTAATTTACATACAAGCCAAAACACAACAATATGAGCGATGTGGCAAGCTGCAAACAAAGAAAGATCCGAACAAAAAGTCCTATGCACTTGGCACGCCCCTTTTCGGGGGGCTCAAAGCCCTGCTCCCAGGTATTTGGTTGCCTCCACCAAGATGACATAAGTAGCACCAGAGCAAACCCCACGATACAATCAGCTGGTCTCCACACACAGAGTCTAACAATGCATCGGGCAATTAACGTTGCGCTGCCGATGGAAAAAATATATTATTAGCAAATGTCAACTTTTGGATGCGCTTTAAAATATGCACAGATATGGCAGGGAGAGTCCTATATGGCGACTATAATTGGGCAACTGCGCCCGTTCTTTGTTCGCGGTCTACACACAAAATAAGTACGTGCATTTTTCGGTATAAGTAAAGACATTTCATAGTAACTTAAAATATATGGGTCCAAAAAACATAGTAGATATTTATAATTATTTCACAAGTATAAAATAAATTATTCATAAAAAAATATATAAAGTTTAGGTAACTTTTAAATGTGTGGGTTTGAAATAGTATTATGTTGGCACTATACAATTATTATTGCGAATATGAAGTATCTATTATTATTTAATTTAAAAACTAAATGGGGGTTTTATATTTTTTAAAAATAATTTTTGGTGCATTGGGAGTTGCAACCAATTTTGGTTTTCCACCATATGTGTGCCATCCAAAAGAAACCGAACTGCTGTGACCAAGTGCCTTAGATAAGCCAGTGCTGCGATTTATGTAAAAGTCGTTTGGCCAGCCATCGACGAACCGAAATTAATTGACTCTTGCGGGCAGGTGTAAAGATTGCATATGCATGCGAGTGTGCATAAATTGCAGATTGTTCGCATTCGAGTACAGTATGGATTTAGCAGTGGCAGGTTGGCCAGAAGGACGTTGCGTGCTGGCCTTTCACAAAAGCTGTCGCCCCAAAGGCGAGCAACAATTAATTGACTTTACGCAGTGGCCTGCAACTCTGATCTGCATCTGGGGTTTGGGTTTGGGTTTGGGTTCGGGTTCGGCAATTAAATCTGCACTGCCCCCTTGTGGCACGCGTTTAGGCGTGGCATGTCGGGCAAATAAAATACAGTCTGTGTGGGCGAGTGCGTTTTGTTTGCATTCTAATTGCCCTGTCATGGTGGCTAATGAACTGGACACTCCAAAGTGATCATAAACACGTTCCACGGATTCGAAATATTTTAAGGGCAGCCTTGAACCAAATTCACTGTTGTGCGAAAACCGAAATGAAAGCAACGCGCTGGTAACCAGATTTAATAAGCATTTAGCTCAGTTAAAGCGCGAGGAGCGTAAAGAGTTTGCAAATCGTGTGAGCTGTAAACCAAAAATTATGACCGCACATTGGTCAAGAGTGAACAAATCTTCTGTTTATTCACTGGGCCTGTGATTAATCAAAGTCACATGTAATATGAGCGGAAAAAGTTAAAGTTTATTATATGCACAAAGGTCTTTAAGAGAGTTACATTTTTTAATCCTTCAGAAGATCATTGCAGTCCGGAGTGTTACGCCTGCATTTGCGGTTCTCATCGGTCACAACCCAATCTATTATTTAAATGTATTTAATAAGTATATCGTATGGGAAATCAACTAATTGCTAGTAGACTTACTTTGATTAGTTCTGCATATCTGATTGTCTAAAACGCATTGGTTGGCGAAAGTGCAAACACTTCTTATGGGACGTACAATACCTCTTTGCCAAACAGCACAACGAGGTTTATATTCCCTTGTACAAGCTCGTGGACACTTCACTGAGTTAGCGTTAGCCAAAGCCAGTAGGCCCAGGGAAATAATCAATAGTATAGACACACACTTCATGATGTATTACGAAAGGTTCTGTATTTTCGAATGAGCAACATAACTTCCAGAACCTTTTTTATAAGCCAGAACGAATAATTAAAACTTTTCAAGTCATTCAATAAACAGATGTTTAATTCACTATTACAAAAACACAAGCAGGTGCACTCTTTTCTTCGGGAGATCGGAGTTCAGTAAACCCTGGTAATGGGATATACATAAAAGGCATCTCACTTTACTTGGTCAGTGGAAATGAAAGACCGAACTGTCAAATGAAAAGTGAAAGGACTTAAGTGCGTTTTTGTTTCCCTTGGCGATTATATAAGCAACACTGATACCCCTGGAGCTGTGCCCTTCGTCAAAACGAGACCCTCGATAGATGGTAAATGAAAAGCGAAATACTTTCACTATTTATTGCTGAGTGTACCGGCAGCTATTATCAACAATTATCGACAATCTTAAAAAAAATCTTCCCTTTAAAGTTCATATTAAAAAGTTTGTATTATAAAATCTTACGACTTGATATAAGCTGTCGTATAAAAAGCTACCAACAATTCAAGTATTCTTAATTAGTTTTTTATTAAAGGATTGGACTATTTTGTTGTTAAGATAATTTCTAAAACAAATTTTCAATGAGAACTGGATTTTATTTACAATTCCAAGACCATGCTTAATATTTTTATGACACTTATCACGTTGGCATAAAAGCCAATTGAGTTTTATTTTAAATCTGGTGTAATCCATTTTCAAAACCTGTCTAGAAAGAGATTATTCTCCAGATAATAATACATGTTTTCTAATGACATTTATTACATGGACAATAAAATACAAATGGTTTTTAAAGAATATAAATAATTCTAAGTCATGTGGTTAAACAAGTTATAAATTCCAGTTAATCAAGGTGAACTCAATAATAAAAAAAATTAATTGTTTTCAAAATTTCAATAAAGTAATTCCAGTTACTTCAATATCGATATGTTGAAGGGTATTCGAGGCAAACCTTGTTTTCGGTTATATAAGAAGCAGGGGCATGGCATATATTTTGCTTTACTTTCACTGTTAGCCAGAGGCGGCATTAAACAATAGCAATCAATATCAATACTTATCAAAAGCCGTTAACAATTGCTCGAAAAATGGGTTTTTTTTTGTTTTTGGCTTTCGCTTTGTGCGAGGCGACAAAAGCTAACAAGCGATTAACACGCGCTGCAAGTCATAAATCTGAGCGCATTAAAGCCGCAAAATAAAAGCAAGGTTGCCAGATGTCAGATGTCGAATTCCCCAGCCGCCCCTTTTGCTGACAGGTAAAGAAACGCCCGAAACAATGGGGAGTCCAAAACAAAATATGCAGCTTGGCTTATAGGTTCCATGGCCTGCAGATCGAAAGACAGCTGCAAGCTACAGTTGAAAGCCTAAAAGTCGAATTTGCATATGTGTAAAATGCCTAATCAATATAAAAAAGGTTCTAGAACCAAATTATGGATGTCTCAGATATATAAGTATATATTTATATATATATTTATTTGCTGCGCTTTTTTTTGGCTTTGACTAACTAATTTATTTAGTATATATTTAGATATAAAATTTTAAAAAAATTAATACCAGGTTTTTTTTTTTTAAATTGAATTCAATTCATCGAATTGGAGAGCTTATTGAAATGGAATTTTCTTTGTATTTTGTGTGTAAGTAGCTGTTTAAATACGAATTCACTGGCTCTGCATTATTACAGTTGTCTTTAAATATTTGTATTTGTATTTATTATCTCTGCAAAATGTTAAAAGCCGTTCTTTAACTTGAAATTGAAGTAAACTATTTTCTGTCTAATAAATTATGTTTCATACTGTGTAAGTTTCACTACATATACTTACTGTTTACTGACTGACTGGCTGATTAATGTTTTTTGCCGCAGGCGTGTTTCTATTTGTCAAAGGGGCGTGCCGCCTCTGGTGCATATTTACCTGAATAACATGTTAATTTGCCTTCTTTTTCTCATATTTCTTTGCAGAATACTTCTCCTGTGTATGCTGTCGGTGGCGTATGGGCAATATCATCAGTTTGGAGAGCAACTCCAGACGGCCCACGGCTCCGATTGTGCACTTCTGTTGGCCGGACCCGGTCGCTCCTCCGTCTACGACTACAACGTGAATTTATTCCGCGGCACTTTGTGAGTACAAATAGAAACTGTGTGTTTGCCGTTGCAGAAAAAGTGGCTCGGTTGCATTCTGGGTTATGTTTGAGACTCAAATATTTGAACGTTGACACCGAAACGTAGTGCAGAGGAAAAAAAACAGAGAAACTCCTGGGGCTTAATGTTTATTTGCGAATTTCGCACGAAATGACATTCCTTTAGGGAAAGTATTAACTCATTCATTTAAAAAACTGCATTTTATTAAAATTAAATTGAGGTGAATGCAGAAAAATAACAGCTTTTGTATAAAATAGCTAAAAATTTGCTGAATTCTAAGGAACTTTTTCGCAGTGTACAACTGCCCGACTGACTCCCATAAATCTTGGTTTGTGCTGTTTTAGCTTGTTTGAGCGGTGGCAACATGGCTCTACACCTACGACAACACAGCACACGAGCTTTGAGCCAATCATTAGCAGCACAAACAGCAGTGGCAATCATTCGGCAACCGCCTGTTGACGTTGATGTTTCCGAGCTGCAATGCCTAGGGAGAGATATAGCCACACTACCCAGATATATATATATTTTTCTTGGTGGGGGCCCGCTGAGCGAAGTGATTGCATCTGTGGCTGAACACGAGGGGCTGAGTTAGTGGTAACTTTTGACAGCAAACGTCTTCATTGGCGCCAAAACAGTTTGCCCGATCCACATTTCCATAAGATGTATTTTTTATTCAATGGCTTTTATTTTTGCGTTCCCTGTATAAGCTTTCTTTCCTTTTCGTACAAATATATCCTTATTTTTCCGCAAGAACTTAGAAATTTTTTCGCAGCTGCCAACGGACCTCTGGCAAGGGTGATTGCCCTCCACTTTCCATTCTGAAAAAAATGAATTCTTGATTATATTTATAATCATCTAATGTATCAAAATTATTTCGTCAAGAAGGTACTTTCTGAAGATTGTTATCTTTTTTTGCCTTTCCAAGCTTAATCAACTTAATTAACTACTATAAAAGTTAATTAAAAAACAGCAATAAAATAAATACAGGTCAAACCTTAGCCAAACGTTAAATTAAATTAACCTCTTAATAAAATGAATAGTATGGGTTATAAGCTTACCTTCTTTACTCTTGCAAAGATACAATATAAAACTGCATTGGTTGGGAAATGTGCAGGTGCTTGGCGAATCGCCTCCTAATTGGGATGCACACAAAGGTTTATAGTCCATATCACATCTCTTGGGACACTGGAAAATATCGTCCTTTATCTTTCCGAAGTCCGCAGTGGAAAATGAAATAAGGATGATTATTATTAGAGATTTCATAGCGGTCGCTTCGCTGGCTCTTCAATGAATCGTCTTCCCCAGAGTTTCCGCGTTATATACGTGATAAAAACAGACCTTTGGCGAAAAACATATGCCTCGGAAAATGGGTTCTCAGGTGTGATGATGGCTTCTAACGTTTCATTCGCTGTCACGGCGACTCGTTAACGGCAATCAGCAAATGGTTTTTGGCCTCGAATCGGCGACGACAGCCTTTGGCTCAGCGTCATGTGATGCAGACGGACGCATCATGAAGTCACCTGACAGACCGCCGCGATTTATTAGTAAACGAAAAAAATCAAAACCGCACGACAAAAAGCCGCAAACAAAAATAGCAAGGCAACAGCGGCAACCCAAAACAAATGGCATTGCAACACTTGCAGATGCCAAAGGAAACATAAAATGAAAAACTCCAAAATAAAATAAAAACACCTGAGCTGCCGTGGGGCTGCAGCAGCCATTGATGGCAAACTTTTGTCTCGAGATGATTTCGAATAGTGACTTTGAAATGCTGCCAACACACAATGCCTCCCGAACTGAACTTCAGTCTGCACCGGGAAAAATCAGCAATCGGGATCAATTAGATCAAAAATAATTGTGTAAAATGACAACCTTGATGGTTTTGGCTTGAGATTAAGAAAATTCTAAAAGGTTGTAGTTTATTTCTAAAAGATTACTGTACAAAAGTAAGCTATAGATACAAAATAGATTCTTATTTTTCCCCGTGCAGCACTTATGGCAGCGGATAGATATACATATTTTAAATGTCACACGATCTAGATAGAGATTGCAAATTGTTCAATTGCTCGATTGTCTTTGAGTGCTGGGGGTCACCGCGAAGTGGAGCTAATTTTTGGGGTCGCCGGGCATCGAAAACGTGAGCCTGTCAATCGGGCCAAGTCGTTATCGCTGACTTTGGCCTGGCTATTGAACCTGGCTGACCAGAGTCAGCTGGGAAAAATGCAGTAAAATTGGCCGCAACAACCTACTTAAAAGTTAAATACAGGTTTTGGCAGGGGCCACTTTCGTTGCGATCTCTGCTCCGTCTGCGGAAAGTCTGCAATTGTATCTGCAACTGCATCTGTATCTGCAACTGCATCTGTATCTGCGTCTCCGTCTTCACTGTCTGCGTAAGCGAAGTAGCTCCCCAGATACTCAGAAAAAAAAAAAAATGCAAAAAGATTGTAAAAGGCCGCATAGATAAATGATATTTGAATATTTTGCACATCGAGTTTACGACACGCTTTTGCAATTATTCACAATATTACGCATACGCCGCGTGCGCTGGACCGCTGCAACTCAATACCGATCAGGAAGTGTTGGCGTTTCGAAGCTGCGCACCTGCGATCGCCAGGCCGGGATTCATAACATTAGTTTTTACTTTACAATCAGGATAACAAGTACAAGTCCGTGTCTGGGGCGGGACGAGTTGCGGTTGGATCGAAAGGAGTGGAGTGAATTGGATTGGACCGAGAGTGGAGTGCGTGCCGCATGCAAGCCACTTTCTAGTTGGCCCAAAACTCTGGCTATGCGCACATTGAACTTACCCGAGTCCCGTAAATATTGTGCGAGAGTGCTCTCGACTGGCTTTTTGGTTAAAATTAACAGGCAGACCAGTTAAGTGCCAGACATTGCCATTTTCGATTTCAATTTGACAAATTTGCCCAAGAAATATGTACAAACATGGTTACTTACTAAAGACAAGTAGATGCTCTTTAAAATGGAGAATTACTTTATACATTTTTTCAATTTACCAAAAATCAGGGAAGAATTTTGTTTTATTGAAATTAAAAATAGACTTGGACGATATGAAGAATGCAGTATATGTGCTTTTTATAGAGATATATTTCAAATGAGCACGAATTTTCCTCTAATAGTTTAGTACTGAAACGGATTTAAAATGAAAAAATTAAAGCGTAGGAAAATAACCCACTGCCAGGGTAAAGTGCCTGCAAGTTCGTGAAAAATGTTGCTTTTAGCCGAAATGGTTTTGCATTGCGTGTGCTGGCAATGTCTCTGCTAGTTGCTGTGCATTTTGTGGGCATATTTTCTGAGTCCGCTGCAGTTGCTCCTGCTGTTGTTGTAATTACTTAATACTTACGCATTGTTAACACGCATCGTTGTCGCCTGACACGCGTTTTACATGTCGCACCATTCGAGGAAGTGGCTGTGGCCCCCATTTTTGGTTAGATTTTCCCGAGCTGCGGAGCCGCAGCTGCCCGACATAAGAAATTTGCGTGCTTTTGGCATTTAATTAACAAACCGGCTGGCAAAATCGGAGTAATATGGCAATGTTAAAGTTAAGTTTGTTACTGTAACAGTAACAGTTGGCCATATTTGCTTGTTGGCCGAACTGAATGGAGATGTTGGGGCAACCGTTTCCTGTCACGAGGAAAAACCGCCCGCAGCCGGTTAACTTTAGTCATACTCAGCTCCAATGGTCAGACTGATGGCTCCCGGCTGAACAAACGTCTGGTGGTACCATTTGTTCGTGTCTAAAACAACTGGGGAGATAGCTATTAGTTAAGTGGATTTCAGGGATTATTTAGAGGAGCCTCATACTTATATCGCCCTGCTGGACCACCACGTCGAAACTCTGGCACTGCAGGTAGCACTCGGGAGGTGGAACCAGTAGCCATCGCTTACTGCCCGCCAGCTGAGCCTGCCACGATGGAAGCCTCACGTTGTCGATCTGCAAGAAAGATTTGACATCTGTCAGCAGCAATGTACATTCCATTTTTTAAGACATTTTAACATTACTGCTATTTACAGTATTTAAATTGGCTTTAAGTTAGGAGCTCAAAATTTATATTCAGAAAACGAACTCTAAGAGTATAGCTATTAAAAAGGCAACTACTTCTGCTTCTGACCTCTCTTAAAATGAAAATGATGTTCGCTTTTGATAAGTATCAGACTACCTAAAGATCTAGTACTTTAAATCTTTCAAATTAAGTTTATTTCTGCGATACATCCATACAAAATTTTAGTTGCTTTTTTATGACTCAAAGAGGTTGTAACTCGGACATACGAACCGTTTGGGTTACCGTGAGCCTTTGCTTTAGCTTGAACATACATTGCAAAATTTTAATTACCTTTCAAAAATTTAAACTCTAAACAAGTAATAAAAACTAAAATTGACTCAAACCATTCATTTTATTTAGCATGAAAATGGAATAACGGCCAAAAAAAACACGTTAAGAAATTTGCAATAGTGATAAACATGATTACAATCAAGTTATTTTAACTTTTAGAATATTAAAGCTAATATTTTTCAAGCTCACATGAATTCGTGATTACAATCAAGTTATTTTAACTTATAAATTTTAGAATATTAAAGCTAATATTTTTTAAACTCACATGCATTTGTGCCCCCAAGCCGGATGTGCCAATGAAAAACCAATCAACCGCATTATTTTCCGAGCTTTCGGGCAGAAAATAGGGTTTTCCATAGTGCCTTCGGAACTCCTCTGCCGTTTCCGCATGACAATTGCTCCAGCCAAAGTACCAAGGTTTTTCTCCAGGTTTTAGCTCTACCCTATTCTCGGGCATATCCAATGCATCATAGATATCTAAGAACCCGGTTTTGTAAGGCAAAAACTGGCAATCCCTTATATGTTGTTTATGATTGGCCTTTCCATAAACATCCCGAAAATACCAATAGTTGAATAACTGATAGATACAAATATTGTATGATAAAAAAGTTTATTTATTTAATTATTAGAATAGTTACCGAAACAGCAGTCCAATTTTTTGTGGCATCACTAACAATAACTGGGGCTGCGCTGTAAGCGAAATTTTTCTCAAATTCCTGGGGGTTTATATTTTCAAGTCGCGGCACTTTTACAATATTTGCACAAAAATCACAACTCTCGGGCGGTCGAAGGGCGTAACGCAGGGGGCGTGGCACAGAAAGAGCACAATTCTGAAAGGGAAATATTTAATTTTATGAAAAGATTTTCTTAAAATCTTCAAAGAAAGCTCTAAGTCTCAAAAAATTAATTAACATTTGTATCACATTAACATTTTTTAACTGTATAAAACCAGTTGTTTATAGATCATACATACTTTTCCCTGCATTTCCTCATAATAGTATTTTACTCCGAATAAAATGAAAATGATCAAGAGCACAATCTTAATCCACTTAACTATCTTTTTGCTCGACTGAGACTTATAGCAAAAATCAGGCAAAAGGTCCTGAATGGTTCTGCCCAGATAATCTGGTTTATGGGTATCTAATATTTGGACAAGTCTACTGCGATTCTGTTCTATATTTTCTTGCTTCATGCTGACGTTGTTACTTCGTTCAAGTTAAGTACTATACTGAATCGAAAACTTGGCGTTGTCCTTTCAACTTGGTTCTTTAACGCATTGGCCCGGCAATAATTTTATTATCTGCCAGTGCGCAGGCTTCCTAGAAAGCGTGGGCTTGGAGTGTGGTTAGCATGTGATAAGCGACAAATTGCTTGTGATTGTCAATTTAAATCACTTTCACTTCAATTTACTTGCAGGAACCCCTACAACAATGGACCGGGCACTTGCATCACCTACGATGCCATCAATGCGGCCTACATGGATGCACGGAAGCGAATACGTAAGTTAATCTTCTTTTTGATACAGTATATAATAAAATATCTCTTTATTAAATGAATGTAATGTACATTGAGATTGAAATATAAATGCCTAATCTAGAGAGATTTAAATACAAACTTAGGTTTAAAGAGCGATATTTATAGTAAAATATTTAGTTGTGTAGTTTTTAGTGGTACATTAATAACCGATTTTAATGTACACATGCGTTTATTGCAGATGTGGCCCAGCCAAAGTCGGATTGGAAGCCAGAGGAACTGGCCACCGTGGGCGAACTGCTGCTCGACATTTCCATTCAATTGGCCCGAACGTAAGTAATCAGCGCTAAACGCATTTGAAAGTTGCCCTGGCACGCCCACGATCTCCACCTCCCTCGGCGCTAATAACGATTGCCAAATCACGCATGACAAGGCAGTTAAGTCGTGCACCACAGCACCACCAATAACTGCACCACTGAACCACTGAACCACCGAAAAGACCGCCTGCAGTCATCAAATATGCATGAGTCTTTTCTTGCCTCCAAGGTTCTACGCTCGACAAAAATCGGAACTGAAACTCGAATTCATCAGCACAGAAACAAAAAAGTTACATTTTTTTTATATTTTAAATGAACAAATTCAACATTTTCTTAATGACAGAAAAAAGGAAATGGGGAGCTTTTTAAAAACAATTCTTTTAATTTGATGAAGATATATAGAAAAAGTTTTTTTGAATTTACAAATTATATTTTTCCTCTGGCTAGTGGCACTTAAATTAGAATAATTTGTAGTTATCATATTCAAAAACGATTTTTTATCTGTTGCAATGGAGATTACATTTTTTTCTCCGTGTGCGCCAGTTCTTTTTTGAAAGTTCGGCACATGCAAATGCTAATTGTCTGGGGTTTTGACTGATGGCCAGTGGCTGACAGCCGAAGAAGTGCATTCGAGAGCTCGTCGAAGCCTTCTTCCCAACTGGCGCAACCGCATTTTTGCCACACAAAAGTATTTGCAGCTATTTGCGGAGCTCGCAGCGCAGATGTAAACAAACGGGGATTATGCAACGGACCGCTTCGCAAACAGCCAGTGAGCAGTGAGCCAGTAAGCCAGTGAGAGTGCGCGTGACTTGCCCCTCCGATGGAAACACCCCCCGCCACCACCACACCAAAAGAAGCTGCGGAAGATGCCGCTCAGCATATCCAGTTTGGTTTTTCCTTTTTCTTCCATGTTGGCCAACGATTGGCCACTGCAGCCTCTTCTGCACAGGGAAAAATGTGTATCACCAAATTGGCCATAGTTGTTGGCATTTTTATTACGAGACGTTGACAATCTTTCGAGGAAATTTCTGTCCGAATAGTGGCTCTATGTTACTTACTGCATACAAGTAATATGGTCTGATAGTAAATTTACTTTAAACAGATTTAAAACGAAGTATATAGTATAATAATAAAGTTGGGGGATCAACAGGTCTCAAGATATTAGAAATCAAAAGAAATATTAAAGCTAAGTACGTTGTACATTATAAAATATAAATATCATAAATATCAGTTGCAAAAAAAATGTTATAATATCGTCCGTTTTAGTACACAAAATTTTACATTTCTATACTCTTTAGAAAAACCTTTTTAAAAACATTAATTTACGAGCAAATCAATAATTAATTTCCTGGTATTTAAAAACGTAAAGTATCATATTGTGTTATATCTCATTATCGATTTTGAAATTTGGACATAGTATTACTTGTAACAATTCCCACTTTTATGGCCAATTTCGGTGTAATTTTGTTTGTGTGTTGGGATTGGAATCTGGGTAAGCGGGTTGGCAAGTCAGTTGGCCACAATTTGGGAGTTTTGGGGAGCCTGAGCTCATCATCATCACCTCCCCTTGTGCGACTTTCACTGAGCTCGACGTCTAAGACGATATTCGGCCACAGGGGGGCAGCATCTTCAACTGTTGCACCTGCAACATCTGAATTGCCGTTGTATAATCTCTTGATTATGGCTAATAACATGTTGTAAACGGCCAATGCAAAAGCTGCCTGGCTTTATGGCATTCTATTAAAACAATGAGACAACTTTAAACGGGGAATAGCTCATGTAAATCAATGATGTACGTTTGAAAGATATCGTATTTCAAGATCTCCCTTCTGCTTTTTTCTGGTACTTTCACGGGCTGCGACCTGGCAACCTATGCGAGTAAATTGCCGACCCAATTGACTGTGAAGTTTTACAGTTTTCCACTTCCCATCTTCACACAATAGCCAGCCGGACGCAGTTTCCCTTTGGCTTTTCTCGCTTTCTCATGCACTCGAGGAAGAGTTAATGTCGGTCCCTTTGGCGATTTATGCGCCGGCACACAACTTCCTCCGACAACTAAATACCAGTTTGTCAGCACTGAAATCTCAGGCCAAAATTGAGAAAAAAATCGAAATCAAAATCCAATTGAAAGTATAAAAATTTGCCACTGTCAACGTCAGGCATCAACATCAATATCTGTCGGATATTTGCCGGCCAGACCAAAAGCGCGTTAATTGCAGCCCGCTTGCTAACTGGGCTAATACGTTAATTTCGCAATTTTTCAATAAAAATCTGAAGACTACACAGTCAAAAAGAGTCCAATATTTTCAATCCAAAATTCTTGTTTTAAGGTAATTAACTTTTTTAAACAAGCCGAATTACGATAGTCTTTTGGCTTTCTTAAACTAAAAATTATATTTTTCGGATTTAATTTCTGTTTTTCAATATTTACATAATATTATATATTTCATATATTTATTTTTATTTACTTTATTGTCACATCCTTGTTTTATGTGTGGAGAATCGAAAAGTTGGCGGCAGGAAAGAGCCATGTTAAGCGATATCCGCAGTTGCGTTAAGATGAAGTGATAATTACTTTCGACTGGCGACTAAATTCAGTTTTTAATTATTTCTTTTAGCTATGGCTTATCGTATGAAGAAATAGAAAAGGGACTGCCGACAATTGATACCTCGAAGACTCTGATCCGTGAGGTGTGTCCACCCTTTTTCGCTGGAGTTGAGTGTCGCCCGGGAAAATACCGCCGATTCGATGGCCTCTGCAACAATATCGAACATCCGACTTGGGGAGCAGCCAATTCTCCGTTCCAGCGCCTGATCGGCCCACTATATTCGGACGGAATTAACGCTCCCCGGATTTCGGTTACTGGCCGGGATCTGCCCTTCTCGCGAGTGGTTTCACGCACCATGCATCCCGACGATGGTTTCCACGATCATGCAGGCACCGTTATGGTCATCGCCTGGGGACAGTTCATGGATCACGACTTTACGCTCACGGGAACACCACTGGGTAAGTTTTTATACAGGGGGCTTTATATTCCAACAATTTCAATTCATTAAAAATAAGTCAAGAAAAAAGGAAATTCGTAACTAAGTAAAACTGTTTTTAAAAAATAATTTTAATCGATTTTTAGATCCCATTAACCGCAATGATCCCGAGGAGTGCTGCAAGCGACCACTGCATTTGAAGCACCCGTACTGCAATGAGATCCGAATTCCCGATGATGATTACTTCTACCGTCTGTTTAATGTCAAGTGTATTGATTTTGTTCGCGGATTCCCCTCGCCTCGTCCAGGATGCAAATTAGGTGAGTTTTTATTTTCTTAAGCTAAGAAAAAACAGAAAAAAGAAACAAACTTCGGCAAACCAAAGTTTATATACGATTGCAGTTATTAAAGAAATGGAATATTCTATAAATTATTAATTTTTCGATTATTCCTATGACAGCTAAACAAAAACGATATCTATAAATTTCAATCTACCATCTTGTTAAAAACTTTTTTAAATTAATTTTCAAGGTTCCCGTCAGCAGTTTAACACCCTGACAGGTGTCATAGATGCCAACACCGTTTATGGGGTGAAAGAGGCCTTTGCCAGGAAGCTGAGAACTGGCTATGGAGGACTGATGCGCATGAATCCCTGTGTTCCAGGAGTACGGTCTGAAGGATCTGCTGCCCCTGAAGTTGGACATTCCCGATGAGGGCTGCACACGTCCCAACAAGAGCATGTACTGTTTCGAGGGCGGTGAGATTCGAGTCAATGAGCAACTGGTGCTCACCTGCATGCACACTTTGATGGCCCGGGAGCACAATAGATTGGCCACCGGATTGGCGCAGATAAATAAACACTGGGACGATGAGACACTGTTCCAGGAGACAAGACGAATCAATATCGCCATTGTGCAACACGTAACCTTCAACGAGTTTCTACCCATTTTACTGGGCAAAGAAGTGATGGAGAAGTTCGGTTTGGTTCTCCAGAAAGACGGCTACTGGGATGGCTACGATCATACAGTAAATCCCGGCATCATTGACTCCTTTGCCGGTGCTGCATTCCGTTTTGGCCACTCCTTATTGCCAACTGCAGTGGAACGCTGGTCCAAGGCCCACAAGTTTATTGCCTCCAAACGTCTGTCGGATTTGATCAGGAGACCCTACGATCTGTACCGTGCCGGAGTCTTGGATGAGTACTTCATGGGTCTGATGAACCAGGTGGCCCAGGCAATGGATGATTCGATCACCCAGGAGGTGACCAATCATCTTTTCAAGAAAGAGGGCGCCCGATTCGGAATGGATTTGGTGTCGTTTAACATGCAGCGCGGTCGGGAGTTTGGTATTCCCGGTTACATGGAGTTCCGGAAGTTCTGCGGTCTGCCCACCTCGAACACTTGGGATGAGATGTATGGATCCATGCCCAATGAGACGGTTCTGCGATATGGCAGCATATTTGAGTAGGTTTCAAGGGGACTTTTTAAGCTCTTTACAACTAATATTAATCAATAATTTTCTTTAGGCACCCTGCTGATATTGATCTTTGGTCTGGCGGCGTCTCGGAGAAATCCCTTCCTGGTTCGATGTTGGGTCCGACCTTTGCCTGCGTGATCGCCACCCAAATGAGCTATTTGCGACGTGGAGATCGGTTTTGGTATGAGCTGCCCAACCAGCCCTCATCATTCACTCCCGAGCAACTGCAGGAAATTCGGAAGGCAAAGCTATCCCGCTTGATCTGCGATAACACCGATTTAATTGATACTGTGCAGATTTACCCCATGGTTTTGCCTGATCATGAAATGTAAGTAATATGACTTTACATAAACTGATTGAAAAGAATAAAAATATTATTATTTTTAGCAATCCACGAGTGCCCTGCAAGAGTGGTATCATACCATCAATTGATTTGTCTAAATGGGCGGACTATGGCGGCCATGGCGTAGATCCCTCTCTCTATGTAAGCCAACCATCTAACTTTAAACCATTAAAATACATATCATTTAATTTTGATGTAATATTTTTAGAACTACATCAACGAAATACCCGACACGCTACTGAACTTTAGGAAGTAACTGCCATTTGTGTTTTCCACGTTTTGTTTACCAATCTCGATTCATTTATTGGACTCTATATCTTCTGTCTTCAATAGTTCTATAACTTTTCCTTCCTTACTGCTTAGTCTCTCAACTAGTCTTTGCTCACCATCCGCATTTCTATAGCCAGTCAGTAGTTTTGACACTGCCATTTTCTTCAGAGCCCTTTCCAGCATTTCCATGCATAAACATAAACCCATACATTCTCTGTATATATTATTATTAAATAGAAGAAATAGAACGATTAAGTTAAAACATATCGATGCAATCAGAAAACGATAAAGAAAATAAAAATAATTTTTAAAGGATATCTCGATGTAAGTTTTTGTATATGCAAGTAATTTTTAAATAAAATTTAAAAACAAAATGTTTTGATTGATGATAAATTTTTAAGTTTAAGAACTTATAAGGTTTTACAGAGAACTGAAATATTTGAATACCTTGGTAAGTAAATATTCAATTAATACATGTATATTAACTAAATTTTATTTTAAATTTATTAGACCTATTTAGGTTAGATAATAGGTCAATAAAAATTGTTCAATAAATTATTTTAATAATTATGACCATAAATAATCAAGTTATTTTTGAGGAATTCTTAAAAAGCTCATAGTAATATACCTAATAATCCCATTTAAGAAGAGAATGAATGAGTTAAAGTTTATCTAAGTTATTAATTTATTCACTACACAATTACAAGTTAATAGGAACTCTTTGGTTTCGCGCTGGAAAGTCAGTTGTTTAGCTAAAGTCATTTCATCATCGTTGTGGTCGACATCAGCAGCCAAGATCGCCAAGACTTGAGCATCGTGTTGAGCATCGCATTGACCCAAATCCACACCTGAGTCACAGGCCATAAAAGCACACATCACCACACACACCGCACACCGCACAAGAGCTGCTTCTATTTACTCGAGAGCATTTAGAAACGGAGCTATGGAGGCTATATCCTCGCAGTCGGGGATGGCTTTGCCCTTAAACTTGAGGCAGGAAAGGGCACACGTCTGCCCCTGGAAGTAATCCCCCAGCATGGTCTTGCACTGGACGCAGTTATTCAGGCACACCTGTTTAGGAAATATAAGTAGAAGGGTTAACTTGTTAGTTAATTCACGAAAACTGGGTATAAAGAGAGGATCCAACTGATAAATCTTAAAAGATGATAAGACCAAGAGATATTTTTAAATCTTTTTAAATACTAACAAATTATTGGATATTATGTTAGTATTTTCTAACTAATTTTTAAATTTATTTGGGAATATATAAACTTAGAGCTTAAAATAAAGAACAAATTTCATATGGCAAAACAAAAAACAAGAAGAACATGAATGATATTAAGAATATCTGAACATGTATGCTATCAATAACAGAAGAAAATTATCAGGAGTACCAACCTGAATGAAATCAATTCCGCCCATGGAATCTGCAAGAAAAAGAAAAATAAAAATTTAGATTTAGTACATGAGTATATAAAAATCAGTGACTTTCAAACACTTACCAAATCGCTTATGCGTATAATGACCGATGGCGGGCACAGCATTTCCAAAATGCACTAGGCAAAGTGCAACTGCCACAAAGGTGCACAAAATCAAGGGCTTGCAGTTCATGATGGTTAGTGGTATTGAGATTCCAACGGATTGATTTGGAGAGCTGACTTGGCTTGCGACCGTTTTCTGTCTAGAGCAGAGTGGAAATAATTATTATCGCTCGTTTGTCTTCTTATTTTATATACATATGCTCTCGGCCCAAACGCAGATGCGAAAGCTTAACAGAGTAAAGAAGCCTGAGACGGCGACAAAAAAATAAAAAAGCAACTATTGAAGCCGGTCGCAGATGCGAGGCAAGTCGTCCGACAAGCCAGCCCCAGTGGCGCTAAAATACGTCAGATCTTTGAGGCAATCGAAATAGATACAAACTCAATCAAATATCCATTATTGTTGCTAAGCATATGCAAATTTGCGATACGCAAAAAATAAAAAATGTTCTCCATTGAAAAGAGTTTGTTAAATTTTGCATAATTACAAGAAATTTTATGGCATTTTTATTGGGCGATAAATGGATGAGCAGCAGGTATTTAATAAATGGAATTTGTGGAATTTTAAATCACACAGAAAACATTTTGTTTGTAAGTTCTGAAAAAATGATTAAAAATAAAAAAAAAAAAATTACAAATGTATTTTGTTTTTGGGAGTTGTAGCACAAATCATATTTTATTTTATCTATTTTCTGCGGCGTTCACGAAATCCAATTTAAAAGAAAAAATATTTATTGGTATTTATTGGTATTCTATCTTAATTCCAATTTGGACTGTGCCTTGTTTAGTAAACTTATCTCTTACTTCTTAATGGCAAATTCATTAACCGCATGACTTAAAAAATTTCCCCGATTTTCAAGAGCACATTAAAAAAATTCACCGAACTTGGAAAAGAAAGTAACTAAAGCGAAAAGCTCTTTTTCGAAAAAACTGCTATAGTAGCAGGAAGTGTCAAGCAAACGGACACAGCCGAACCGAACTGAAATCGTAATGAATGCAAATCGTATGCGACTGGCGAGCCCATTAATTAATGGCGCTGTAAATGCAGTAAAAATATGGTTAAAATGTAAAGCGTAGATCGGATACAAGACCAGATGCCGCCACAACAATAAGTTACGCCCCAGTGAAGTATAAATAAAATAAGAATTCTTTTGTCCTGCCTCCAACCGGACACGCCGCCAACTGGTTTCGATAGCGTGGAGTACCAAGCGAATCTCACAAAACAAAATATGGCAAATAAAATTAAAAGCAACAAAAAAAACAACTATATCGTGGGAATTTTTTAGTTATGTTAATTTTATGCATCACAAATTGTATGTTTGTCAACTAATTGGCAACACGCGCCAGTGTATGAGTAATGTACGAAAGCCCATGCGGCGTATACGTCACAGACGATTTGTGGGCGTGAACACTTGTGAGCCAGGCTTAAGTTTTGGACCAGTGACGTAGGAACGGTACTCGACACTTACCGGTAGTTGATTGTTTGGCAGCGAAGGCGTGGGCGTTGGATTGCTCGACAAAGTACGTTGGCAACACGTTTGTTTGCTGGAAACTGGTTCTAGATTGCAGAGTTCTTGCTGTATTTATACGTTGGATTTTGTGCGATTGTTTTATTTGCACGAGCAAATTAATCAATTTATCTCGCCAGCAAATCCACCTAATTGAATATGTGCAAAATGGCAAAATGTCACTTCCGTTGGCTGCAGTCGGACACTTTCTTGAGTGCTTTTCACAGCGGTGTTCTGAGTACTGGATGTTACTTATCCAGTTTAATTACGTTTCTTTTAGCACTGGTTTGCGATTGGTTGTCAAATTGTAATCCAAACAGGAAATGATAGTATCGAAAGGAGTTGTTTTTCCCACCGTCTTGTTGGGTTCATGACTTTGTTTTTGTCCCCTTGCATAGACAATAAATCAATCTCAACAGAAAGAGAAAAGCATTTACTGACTTTAAATCAACATACCCAGTCACGCATTGAAGGGCAGAATTGTGCCTTATGAATTGAATAAATTTGAATTTTTTGTTAGTAAAAAGATTTTATTTATATCTTTAATAATTTAAGCAATTGAATAAAAGTATACAATAGACCAAACTGTTTCAAAGCTATCAGATTTAAAATATTTTTGCCTCAAGTTAAATAGTTTAATTTTTTTATTTAATTTTGTACTTAAATTGTACTTACATTAATTTAAAGCAGTTCAATCTTAACGTAAAGCAGTGCACCATACTTTTTTCCGCTAGATGGCGCTAAGGTCACACTTGTAAAATGGTTGTGTAAGATACATGTAGAAAATGTTAAAGTTCTGTAAACCAACAACATGTACATTCCTTACATGTGATTACAAGCAACAGAAAAATGGCAGCGCCGGGATAGGGAGGCCTGGGAGTGTTTCCTGCGCTTTTCTTAGGGGGTCCCAGGGTCTTGGCGGATGTGGGAGAGCGGGGCACAACTTTGTTGGGTCTCAGGCCGGGGGCGAGGTCGGAAAACTGAGAAATTGGCGAAAAACCGGGAAAGTTCAGTTTAACGGTCTGGCAGCACTGTATTTTGCACAAGGGTAACACGCGCGACGGGAAAACTGGTGTATTCGATCACTTTCATCGGAAAACTGATCGCTGCGACCTGCCCCTCACCCCCGGCTCCATTCGACACACAAATTTCAGGTCCAGGCAGTGTAACCACCTTTGGGTTTAATGCAAATATAGTCGCTTTCTGGACACTTTCGCAAGGCGTTACGGGACTTTCTGCGTTTTCTCCAAAGTGGTCCTACAGTTTTGGCGCCGTTGTTCAAAGTTCTTAATTGTTGTGTTTTTAATATGGAGTAGTATGGAACCTCTGAGGCTTAAATAGCTTTTTTCTTTTAATTTTGTATTTTTAATTAAAAGTAAAGAGTTACTAAATATCTGAAAATATATGAAAAAATATTAAAATATATGTTTTAAGCTAAATTGCCGTCAAACTTTTCATTTGCAAACTATTTTTTACTCTAATATCTTTTTTACATATAATTTTTGTAACTTATAATGTAAAAGTAAAATTAAAATTTTGTTAAGTTTACAAATATAACAAATAGTAGTTTATAAAGGGTTTAAGTTATCTTTGCATCATTAATAAAAATATATATGGTATGGTATTAATTAATTTAAATGAGCTTAAACATATAAAAGTAAAATATATATACATATATTGCTTTTAAAGATTTGGCTTTATACGTTTAAAGGTTTTCAATGACTTCCGTTCTTATATTTAAAGGAAGTACTTGGACTTAGCACTTTAAGCTCCAAAATCATCTTGAATGTTTCAAAGCTTTCGAAATGCTTTTTCCCTAAGTAAGATTCAATTTTTATGAGGCAATATCAAAATAGTTTGCTCCTAGAACCTGATCATTGAGATGTTTATTGGTCCATTTATTGACTCCCTTGGAGGCAATCAATTTCTGTCCAATATAAATCTCATTATTAAAGTGCAGGGCGGATTAAGTTCTCCTTTTTTGTATTGCCCCCTTTGGACGTGCGTTGAAATTGCTGAAAAGCCACAACAGCAAACATTTCAACCGATGACCAGGAGGCGAGAGTATGTGTTGGTGGGCGTGGCACATCACCGTACGCGCCGTCGAACATCGAAAACTTTTATTAGTTGCTGCGTTTCCCCTCCCCAAATCCCTCTTTTCCTTCCGAACACCACAGCGAGTAAATCAGTAAACGATTTTCTTTATATAGCTGCATTTTCGAAGCAATTCCTCGTCTTTTTTTCGACGACGGCAAGCAACTTTTATTTTAAACCAAGCCAAAAGCCGAGGTTTTCGGACGCTTTATTTATGAACTCTGCCCGAAGAGT